ACCCGGGGCGCACGCGGCGCTGTGAATCGCGCGAGCGGACTACCGCTCCCACAGGGCCGCGCGGCACCGCCAGGACGGAAGCTCGGGGAGGTGGCCGGTGCGCGACGCAGGCCGGGAGTTGTAGTCCTCGGGTGTTGGCCAACAGCCGCTGCGACCGTCTCCGTCCAGGGGCCCGCCGACTTCCCGGGCCTCCCCGCCCGCCAGCACCGCTGGAGAATGCCAAGACCCGCGCCACGGGCGGCGCTGCGTGTCGGGTCTGGCTCGGAGTGACGGAAGGAAACCTTCCAGAGAGGACTGCGCTGCTGCTCCCAGAATGCCCTGAGCTGGAGGAAGGGGCGGGACTTCCACCCCGCCGGTCTCTGAACTTCAGGCTATGCGTTGCAGGCCCAGGTGTGGTGCTGTGGTTGCTTCCGCGGCTGTCTGGAGGAGCGCCCGACTAGGCCCTGGTCCCTCCGTCTCCATGGGGCCCGCAGACCTCCGTGGCGTCCTCCCAGGGTCTCCCCAGCCCTCTTACCTCCCATCCGCCGCAATTCTCTTTGCAACTTGTCTGCTTCCGCGGGTCCTCTCAAGGCTTCGTGGTCAAAAGCTCCAGTTTTGGTGGGACCGACCTGGGTGGAGACACGGCCTGGGCACTTACAGCGTGACTTGGTCGCATTCCTTCTGTGAGCCTCGGTTTCCTTCTCGGTGAAGGGGGACGAAGTGAGATACCACCCACGGCCTGCTCAGGCTAGTGCCTGACAGGAAGGCCCCTAAACCTGGGAAGCCAGTGTTGCTCCACAGGGGCCTCTAAACACACCCACCCCGCTGCCGCCACCACCATTCACAAAAGAGCTTCCTAGGTCCAGTCTCGACCATTGAGTTCCCTTTGGACAGCTTGAGGTCACCCAACCAGAGGTCACGAAACTGGAGGCCCCTATGCCGCCTAGATGTTCGGACGCAGCAGGACATGGAGTAAAATGTTCACTTGCGGCCGAAGCACAGGGAGGCTGTGGAATGGGGAGCCAGGATGCTGAGGGCAGAGCCCTAAAGACTCGTCGTGTTCAGGGGGCACTTGGGCAGCCTGAGGAGGCACTGGTCATGCAAGAGACGAGAAAAACCAGGCATGTTGGCTAAGAGATTCAGGAAGAGTTACTTGGCTGTGGCTCAATTCTGCCTCCAGATAGGGTAGAGTTGGGTTTTTTTTTTTTTTTTTTAATTGTTTTGGGAGAGACATAGCGTTTGGGGGGGGGTGGAATCCCAAGCAGGCTCTGCAGTGTCAGTGAGGGGCCCAGTGTGGGGCTCAAACTCACAAATCCGAGCCTAAATCAAGAGTCGGACGCTTAACAGACTGAGCCATCCAGGTGTCACACTTAGAATTTAAGTGGAAGCTTGGTTTGTTTCAGTGTCCAGAAAATCTAAGCTAACCTCAGTAGGACCTTCAGGGACAGAGCTCAGTATTCCCAGGAGACCAAGCCCCAGGAAAACCTCTCTCTGACTCTCCACATGCTGCAGCCGGGATGGTGCCCCTCCCTGAGTTCTCTAAGCAGCAAGCTTGTGACTTGCCTGTCCCTAGCTTCCTCCCCCGCATGATGGCTGTGGAATCACAGAAGACAGTCAAGGGCCGAACTCCACAGGTCCCCTTCCCTCCCCTGCCCCTTCCAAAGCACACTGCCTGGGGTGGCTGTGTTTCAACTGGTATCATGTAACTTCCCAACAAGATAAGCAACTGAAATCGAGATTCCTGTCAGCTCACTGCAGAGTTTTTCAGAGCCAGGCCATACACCAGGGGCGGTGGGGGGGGGGGGGGGTGGGAGCGGTTAAGGAGAGAGGAGCATTCCTGCCCTTCCCAGCAAGGGGCCAGGGCCTGTTGTCAAGGTGGAGGAAGCCCAGTCACTACAAGCGGGCCTCAGGAGGAGTTTTCAGGACTGTGGAGTAGCTATGTGTCCAAGGTAAGGGGAGGGAGCTGGAGAAGGGTTGGGAAGGGCCGAACACAAAGAGCCCTGTGACAAAGAGCCATGTGTATCGGTGGGAGGCGTTGGCTCAAGCATCCCTGTGCAGATCCCACGTGTGCCCATGCTGTTCTTGGCTTTGGGACACAGCACTAGACGACATACCCAAAGACCTTCACGGAATGGAGATTCTAGCGGGATTCGGGCACAGGGACCCTCAGTGGTTGTACGCACATGTGGACCAGGGGCAAGTGGGCCACGTGCAGGGTGACAGTCTGCGTCCTCACTGCCCTCCTCACTGCCACCCACACAGGATCCAGGGCTCCCAGGCCTGACCCTGGTGACCCTTTGGAGTCCGGCTGCTGCAGCCCCAGCTGGGGAGGAGTCCTGGGGCCCCTGCTCACCACAGGCCAGACCGTGTCCCCTCCCCATGGCCCTCAGGTTATTGGCCCGGTGGGCCAGCACACCTGGGTTCAAGCCCGTTTGGTGCCTTGCTGGGTGGTTGGGGGTGGGGTCTTTGGTCTTCCCTGGACCTGTCTTTCAGTTTTGTGACTGGCATGCAGGTAGCTTAGTGCGAGGGATGTGGTAAATGCACGGTTTGCCGCTCCTGTGGATACCTGGGCTGGGGAATCGAGTCGGGGGGGTTTGGCCAACAACCCCCACTTCAAATTGGATTTAGTCACTTGCCCATAGAACCTTCTCACTGTCCTTCCCGACTACGGTGGCACTTGAGCTCTCCTCCTCAGCCTGGGCACCCAGCCTGAACTTCTTCCTGATATTCAAGCCAAATCCTGTCGGGACCTATGCTTCCCCTGTGCTTTCAGTTTGGGTATACTGTGTGACCCAACCCCCCCCCCCCCCAGGCCTGTTCTTTATCCGATTACATGTCCCATGGGGACACTAAGGAGCCCCATATCTGCGATGCAACCCCTCAGCCCAGCTTATACTCGGGCTGTGTCCTCCCATGAACACACATGGTCCCCAAAGCCCCATCACATGGCCCCGCCCCAGGAGGGACCCTTGGCTGAGCTCCGCTGGGGGTCCAGACTGGAGGTGCAACCCTGGGGCCTCCAGGAAGGGCCAGCTTGACCAGAAGGTCTCCTGCTGTCTGAGCTCACGTGGCGCAAAGCCTTCAACCCCCAAATACATTGGGGGACCAGGCGAGGCCCATGGCACCCCCCACCCAGCCCTCAGACCCCACGGAGGAAGAAGCCGGCCTCAGTGGGTATAGATAGCTTTAATCTTCGGTGAGAGCGTCCTGGCCTTGCCCTCTAGTGTCCAGGTCACCACTGCTCTGCCTGAAAAATCTTTCTCAAGGGGAAGGAAAGAGGGTCACTGTGCAAGTCCACACCTGGGTGTGTGCATGAAACATCTCCCTGCAACTCATATTTACAGCTACGGTACCGTTGGGTGATGGACAGAAACAGATCCAAGTCTGTGTCACGGGGGCAGGGCTGGGCACGGAAAGCAGAGTTCCAGTATTTATTATCATACATATATATATATATATTTCATGTGTATACACAGATAGTTTTCTCTCTTGGAAGTATTAAAAAATTGATCAACCTTCAATCTATAAAAAATACCTACTCTACATGATAGAAAAATCTCTCCTCCAAGTTTACACTGATTTACACCCAAGGCTTTCCCCAAAATGTACAATACGAGGCAACATCTTAAATCTTAGTGTAGAAGGTGGGCCACATGGAGGATGGAGGGACACAGGGCAATGCGCACACACACACACACACACACACACACACACACACACACACACGCCCTCACATACGCACTTGCACGCAGCAGTGGCCAGTCTGTGTGTGGGGTCTTGACCCACCTGGAGCACCCAGAGGCTCCTGGACAGTGCTCAGGCGCAGGGTGGGGGCAGGCCCAGCAGCCCCCATGGTGGTGCAGTGCCTGGTGGTGGTGGCACAGAGCCAGGCAATGGCTTCCTTGAAGGAACCCACAAGCTGCCAGGAGGGCCTTGCTCTCTGCTCCGGATCTATGTACTTAGAGAACCCGCACCACCCTGCCTCCTCCAAAATGCAGCTCGGGGAAGGATGGCCACTTCAGCGACTTCAAACTCCCAGAGGAAACGTGGTGCCAGACATGTGGACTCTGGCCTGGGAGACCGGGACTTCACCCAGAGCAGCTGAGACGTGCTCAGGGAGGGGAGGGCTCCAGGAGGCCGGGGACCACACCCATGGGGAAGCAGTTTCTCACCACGATGCTGCCACACCTGGAGTCAGAGGGGCCCTGAGACCCACCCTGTGCAGGGAGCATGCTCCATGTGATGGGACTCTCAAGTCCTGATTTTGGAGCAGAGGCTTGGCCCCAGCCCCGTTACTGCAGCAAGGGTTTGGGGCATGGGGACAGCTGCGTGGCCAGCTGCAGAGCCCCTGGGTCTGAAGCTGGACTGCGGTGCCTTCTCTGGATGGGTGGCTGGGCGGAGCAGCTCCAGAGTCACAGCCCCAGGAAAGCCGGGGTCCTGCAGCTCCCGGCCAGAGCCTGATGTTGCACCACCTTGCCTGGCAGTCCTTCCCACGCCACCACGTCTGGTGAGAGGGTCCTGGGGCCTCTGTGCCATCCAGGTGAGGGCCCCTGAGCAGATGCAGATGGCAGTGTCCCGGTGGGGACGAGTCCTTCCTTTCTTCCCTGACAAGTAGGGCAGCAGAGAGGTGTGCCACATGAGAGGGAGCTCGCAGAGGGGTTCGCCTGAGCCGTGCTCCCCACATCTCTGCAGAGAGCAGGCCCAGCCCCACCCTCTCCTGCGTGGGCCCTGGCCCCGGAGCTCCTGTTCCTCTTCCCTGTGCAGACCCTTCTATGCACCCCAGCCCAGCCGCTTGTCTCGGCTGTGTGTGCGCCGTGGCCATCTCCTGGGTGCGGGTGGGGTCCTGGGCCCACCGAGCTGGGCCTTCTTGCCTCTACTTGACCTCCAGGATGGATGGGTTGGTCTCCATGATGGCCACGATGATCCGGTCAATGTAGTCCTGCAGGCGGAAGTTGATCTCCTCCTGCTTCTGAATCGCATCCATGAGCTGTGGGAAGAGCAGCGGTCAGTGCTGGGTTGGTGCATAGACTGTGGCACATCGCGGTGGCCGGGCCTGGATGGGCCTTACCTCATCTCGGGAAACGGAGCTGATCTCCGCAGCCAGGGACTCTGAGAAGGACGTGGAGAAGAGGTTCTTGGCACCCTGGATGCTCAGGTTGATGATCTGCCCGTTGAGCTCATCATTCTGCTCCTTCAGGTTACGGTTATCCTGAATAGGGGACACGACAGGGTCACTCCCGGGGTGGGGGGCCCCCACTAGTGGCTGAGCCCGTACGGGGAGTGGCTGGAGCGGCCTCTGGCTCGGGCACCAGCTCCCTGCGTGCCCCCGCCCCATGCTGGGCTCCTGGAAGCTTCTGCAGGGATATAGGGGTGTGGCTGCCCGCACCTGCTTCAACCTGCGGACCTCCTGCTCCAGCTCGCTCTCGCGGGTGCGGCTGTTGTACTCCTGCAGACCCATGCTGCTGCCCCGGCCCCTCCTCTGCTCGGCCTCCAGCTTGAAGAGCTGCAGGTGCTCCAGCTGCTTGCGCAGGTCCTCGATCAACTGCAGGCAACCACAGGGTGAGCAGGCCTTTGGGCACCCGAGGCAGCAAGTGCCAGCTCAGCCCTCAGCTTCAGAACCTCTGGGTCAGTCCGAGTGGGAGGACGATGCCAGCCACGCTTCCCAAACACCACCTCACGCCCAGCACCACATGGCCGCCAGCTGCAGGTCTCAGGATGTGGAGGGCACAGGCACGGACCCCACGCGGGGACGCAGGTCCCACCCCTACCGGGTGCCACGCTCACCTCCTGGGTTGCCTCCTTGTCCCTCTGGAACTGGTGCCTCTCGTGGCTCAGCCTGTCCCCCAGCTTCCTCCTGTTCTCCTGCTCATCACTGAGCCGCAGGGATAACTCTTCCATCTCATCCAGCAACTTCTGCTTCTCCTGTGGAAATAAGCCTGCCTGCTGCCCCAACCACACAGCTTTCCCGAGTCTTCCGTGGCCCCCGGGCTCAGCCCACAATGGCTGCGTCTCAGCCATCCCATCACCCGGGCATGGTGCTCCTGGGGCAGTGCTGACCCCGAGCACCGCGCCTGCAGGTGCGCCTGGGGTGCTCTTGGCGCAGGGTGTCTGCACAGGCCACAGACACTGTTCCTCAGGCGAGGCAGGGCAGAAAGGATCCATGCAAGAGCAGGATCTGACCCACGGCTGCCCAGAGGGAATAGTTCAGGGGAGTCAGAGCCCAGGTGGTCTTAGATGTTGTCCGGGTTCGGAGCTTCCCAGGGGACATGTGACCGGGAGGGGAGAGGAGGGGAGGAGAGGCTTCTCGAGTGAACAGCTGCAGGACAGGGCACGAGGGGTCCAGCTGGAGTCAGCCCCTGGAGGACATCATCCCTGGATTCGGACCACGGGTTAATCTAAACTGAACTCTTGGATCCGTGAGAAAGCTGGGAAGCCAGGCGGGGACCGAGCTGTCCTTGTCCTCATCATATGGGGCCGGTGGGCCCAGGGTAACAGCTTGCGCTACAGAGCAGCATAGCTTCCTGGCCTCTGGTCACACCCCGTGGCTGGCCGTGTGGCTGCCTCGCTTCAGAGGACCCATGAGGTGCAGAGGGTGGCAGGCCCGTGAGCCGGCTTGGCTGACCGCGTATCCACATGTGACAGGGCTGGGCTCCACCCACTCTGTGCTCCCCACTGACCGCTCACCTCTTCCAAGCGCTCAATGTTGGCCTTCAGACACGGCGTGCAGGACCTTAGCTCTCCGTTCTCCTCATCTAGCTGCTGCAGCCTGGGACACAAGAACAAAGCTGGGACTTCAACCCAGGAAACGTGGCTCCTTGGGGCAAGGGAGACCCAGTGTCTTGGCAGCCCTGCCAGGAGCTGCCTAGGGAGCCACAGAGGCCTCCTCAGATGCTCCGACCCTACGTACCACTCAAGTGCTCTGGGCCCAAGCTTTCCCTTACGCTGGGATAGTTATTAAATACACTTGGGGGGTCAGGGGCTCAGTTGCTGGAGCACCCGAATTTGGGTCATCATCTCACAGTTCACGAGTTCAAGCTCCCATGTCTGGCTCTGTGCTGACAGCTCAGAGCCTGGAGCCTGCTTCTGATTCTGTGTCTCCCTCTCTCTCTGCCCCTCCCCCACTTGTGCTCTGCCTCTCTCTCTCAAAATTAAACATTAAAAAAAATACCCTTGGGGTTGGGGGTACTTTGGGGTTTACAGAAAAGTTGCAGACATGGCGTGGAGTCCCTGTGGGCCTGGCCAGTACTGCTTCCTGCATGGCATCTGCCCATCATGTGGTCACGTGGCGCCTTTACCACAGCCCTGCGGGGTATACTAGTCATCAAACCATGGACTTCGTGTCATCTCCCAATCGTGCCCTCCAGTCTCTGGGCCACACTGCACACGCTGCCTCGTCTGCTTTGTCCCCTGGGGTCTGTGGCAGTCTCCCGGCCTTTCCTGACTTTTCGTGGCCTTGACAGTTCTGAGCAGTTCTGGTCACTTATTTGGTAGTGTCCCTCACGCTGGGTTGATCTGGTGTTTCTTGTGATGAGACGGGTCATTGGGGGGGAGGTGCCCTTCTCGTCACCAGATCGGGTGTCTGAGTCCTCACGACTCCCCGCAGGTGATGCTGACCTGGATCGCCTGGTGAAGGTGTGTTTCCGGGTGTGTCCTGTGTCAGGTGCATTTTCCCGTCCCTTCTCTGTCCTCTGGAAGCCAGAATCTGGGCCCGGCTGAACCCAGAGCAGCACCCCACTGTGTCTACATGCCAGGGGGCCTCGTGTCCAGGTGGCTGGCACAGCCCCGCACGCAGCCCCTCCTGCACCCCTACTCTTAAAAACGCACAGGAGCTCTTCTCCAGTAAAGTCCAATGCACCCCAGCATTAGGAGTGGGGGAGGGACACTCGGGCTGCAGAGCCTGGAAACCCACTCATCTAGTTACACCTGCTGTGTCCTGAATTCGGGAAGTGGCTCCGGCTCAGCTATGAAATGAGCCATCAGATGCCCTCGCTCTCTCTGACCTTGGGGAGGACCTCTGGGGAGCTCTCAGACGGCCTGTTCAAGCATTTCTCCGCTGACGGACACGCGGGCTCTCTCTCCCCAACGCTGTAAGACCCCCGCTCACAGAGACAACCATGCGAGTGTGCCGCATGTCCGGCCTACACCCCACGTGGCGGCTGCTGCTGCTCCCGGGCCTTGACAGGCTGTCTCATGCAGGGCGTGCAAACCCACGCTGTTTTCCCCACTTTTCCTGACTCTTCAAAGGTTCCTACCTCCGGAGCAGCACAAAGGCACTGCGTCAAGTTGTCTGCAAGAGGCCTGGAGTTCTGACTAGGAGAACCCCAACTAGAGACGGACTCAGAAGGACATCCACGTAGGGTCAGTCTTTGAACTGTGACACTGAGCACTTTTACAGCTTTCCTCGCGCGGGCTTTCCCTTTCTCTAACATCGGCTTTATTCTAAGACACCGGATGTGCTGGGAGGGGCAGCCACCGGGGCTGCACGCCCCACCTGGCCTGCAGGCTCTCCACCTCGATGCTGCGCTCCCGCTCCATCCTGCACACGAGCTCCCGGTGCCTCCGCGCCTCCTCCAGCGCCATCTCACAGGCTCTCAGCTCCTGCTCCTTCAGCTGCTCCTCAAGGGCATTGGCTCTGTGAAGGCGAAGGGAAGGAGGGGCAGCAGAGAAAGAGAGACGACCCCACCCCCCAACAGCTCTGGTCAAGGATGGTTCTGAAGGAGGGGTCGTATCCCCCAGACAGCCTCGGCCTCCCATGCCCGCACCCGGGGCCTCGAGATGGTGGCAAAGTTGTGACAGCAGGGACGGTCTCCAGCGCTCTCGGGAAGCTCGCTCGGCGTGTGGCCAGGAGACCCTCCCAGGGGCACAAGCCCACCAGGTGTCCGCCCCCGGGAGCACCCTGCACGGACACTGTAGGCTGAGCACCCAGGTCACCCATGGGAGAGGCACGGGTGGGTGTTAGCAGTAACCTGAGACAAAGGAAACGTGCACATGGGGGCCCTGACCCCGGCACCTTCCCAGACCACCACGCCCACGTGCAGGAAGCAGGGAATGCCCATCCCAGAGAGAAGGGCTCAGGGCCCTGCTCATGGAGCCCACATCCACAAGCTGTCGATGCACACAGGGCTTCTCAACCTCCTCGGGGTGCCTCACACGTAAGAGTGAACGGAGAGCCCAAGATCACCAGACACCATGGGAAAGGTGTTGACACAAAGTGGCCAAAGCAAACAGAGAAAAAGGACCTCATGCAGGAGAAAGCCCTGTAACCCAGGCCTCAGAGCAAAGACACTGCTTCCAGGAAACAGGAACAGGACACCAGAAGGGAATTTACAAAGTGATTCTCAGAAATTAAAAACATGAGAAGAAAAAATTTTAAATTCAACAGGAGAGCTGAAGAAGAAAAACAAGGATATTAGAATTTTAAAAGACGGAAATGACAAAGAGAATAGAAAAGTAAAGAAAATGAGAAAGTCCAGAAGGTCTAACGTTAGATTAACAGAAGTTCAGACAAATACGAAAATGGAACAAGCCGTGCAGAGAAATAATTCTAGAAACCTTCCCAAAGCGGAGGCACAGCTTCCAAATTTAAAGGTTGGAAACCACGTGCCAGCACAGGAAACGAGACCCTTCCGGCATCCAGGCAGAGAACTCAGACCCCACAGAGGGCAGGAAGAACAGGAGCGCCAGGCTTGCAGTCACAGTGTGGTCAGAAGGCCCAGAGCCTGCCTGCCAGGTCCCGGACACCCCTGCTTTGGAACAACTCCAGACCCAGTCACACTGGCAGCGGACACGCACATTGCAGACACACGAGGCCTCACAGAACCTGCTTCTCTCCGCCCGCCCCAGGTGATCATCCGGGGTGGTGATCCAGAAAGTACGAAGCTGAGCACCAGAACCTGCGTGGGGTGGGGTCGCTGGGACGGCGGGAAAGGCAGCAGAAGCATGCTGTTTTTAGGAGAGCTCAGGCAACACCTAAAGAAATACCACAGGTTTGGACGTGGCAAGCCCCGGGGCACAGCACGTGGACTTTCCACTCCATACGTGGATAACTGATAAGTGTCATCAGATCAAATGAAGCCTCACCGGTCAGCTTGAGAAATGAGTGCGGTGGCCCATCCACGTCCCTCTGGACGCGAACAAGGAGGGAGAACACGTGCCTCCAGAGATGTGGCAGATGCTCTGTGCAGCACTGGAACCAAGCCCCTCCACGAGCGTGCCGACCCCACCCAGCTCTGCGGCAAGGCCACGGGCAGACCCTCCCGTGAGAGCCTGGAGGGCGTGCAGCTGCCTAGCCCAGGCCCTCGACTACGTAGGGAACCTGTTTCTACTGTTAAAGTGACATACGGAGTACGTGTGCAGTAACACGACTCGTTCTAATTCTCAGCATCCAAAGAGGAGACCGGAGGACGGGTGGGGAAGGTCAGTGCCTTCCAGGATGAACATATCACGGCAGGGGCCAAGCATCCCCTGGAGCCGTGAGTGCACGTGGGCCTGTGTCCTGCCATCGGGGGCACTCACAACACCTACTCAGAGGAGCCTGAGATCACAGAATGTGTGGCAGAGCCAGGCTCAGGCCCGGGCCCAGGTCCAGGCCGCCCGGTGAGGAAAGAGCCTCCAGCCTTCCCCCCGCCTCCAGGGCCTCCCCACACTGTCTCGTCCCCACAATGCTGTTTGTGTCCCCGTGACACCCAGCTGCATGCAGGCACAGCCCAGGAAGCTGACGCTCCTGGGCCGAACTCATATGCTGCAGGAGACGTGTCTTCCCTTATACTGGGCGTGAGGCTACATGGCAGGAGTGGTTCCAAAATGCAGACCAAACAACGGTGGGGGAGGTCAGCGCGGATGCCCGGCTGAGCCAGACTGTGCATCCCGTCTGCCGGTGGCTCCCGCTCTCCTCCCGTCCCTGCAAGAGCCCGCGTGCTCCAGGGTGGGTCCAGCCCCCCGGTGCAGGAGCTCTGGAGGCCCTACCCTTCCTGGCCCCGCTGGCTGGCTCTGACGATGGCCTGTGCCTCAGTGTCCTCGCCTGCGAGATGGCACATTAGGTGGCATCTGCCTCACAGGACACGGTAGAGGGGACGATACGGGTGTACCAAGCACAGCAACAGTCACAGAGCAGCAAGCCCATCTCCAGGCATATCTGGGCCAGGACAGGTTCTCGGAAGCAGGGACACACATCGGGGACCCTACCAGAGAGTTCCATGACTCTCCACACGCGACCTCCGCCTCTGCCAGCCTCTCCTGGACACTCTGCGCAGGCAGCTTGGGTGCTGGCCGCCATACTTCTGAGACGTGAGCCGGTGCCTCCCTTTGGTCTCCCCTGGGGCCGGACACACGCCGGGGGCGGGGGCAGCACTAAGTGGGAACCGCGCTCGGGAGGCCGCTGGCACCATCCCCTGACCGGGCTCCCGGTGGCTGGTGGAGGGGCACTTCCATGTGTGAGCCACATCGTGGCAGCAAGGGGGTTGCGGGGTCACACGCGGACAGGCAGCCAGGGCCACGGACGCCCTCCTCACCTGTGCACGAGCTGGAGGTTCTCCTGCCGCAGCCGGCTGTGCTGCTCCCCGCTGGCAGCCGTGTCCTTCTCCAGCTCCGACACCCGTTTCTCCAGGAAGACGACCTCGGGAGTGACAATAGGGGCTTCAGAATCAGGAGGCGGTGTCCACTGGGTGGGACCGAGGTCCGTCCAGCTCACGGAGAAAGCAAGCAGGGACCCGGGAAGAGCTGAGGGTATTGTGCCACTCCTCCTCATTTCTGGCTGAGCTGGCCCTTGAGAAACTTGGGGTTGCTTCCACAGCATGGCTGTCCTGCCCCAAGGAACCCCCCACACGGACTCTCTGGGAACTCTGACTCCACACGTTGTCTGGCTCTGTGGTCACCACCCTGAAACCTCGAGCACCCCCAGATTCTGCCTCCAGGAGTCAGGGGAACAGAGTCCCTGCGCGTCGGTGCAGCCAGATGGGCCCACAGACAGATACGGCTGACAACCGGCCTCTCCATGCACAACGGGAAACGCTCCTTCCACTGCAGTCACTGGGGCCTCTGATGAGGCTGGCACCCCCCCACCCCAGCATGGCCTGCATCCCAAGGCGGCAGCACCGTCGCATATCCTCAGACCTGGCTGTGCCATCTGCAGGTGGTCCAGGGCCTACCTTATCAGCAATGTCCTCTTCCATGCCCTCCACGGGGTCTGGGGCAGGGTCCTGTAGGGCCTCCACGGTCAGGGCCCCTGACTGGTGCAGGTACCTGTGGAGAAGAAACAATAGCCCAGTCCAGAAAAGGTCCTTCAGCAGAGCACAGCAAGGAAAAGTCACTAGCTCTATAAACATGAGCATCTGTTGGGCTGAACACCAGAAGCCAGCACCACGGGCCCAGGCTTCCACCAAAGGGGGTCCCGGCAGGACACAGCCACCCAAGGGCCACAGGATAGCCCCGCTGCTCTTTGGAACCTGACGTCCTGGCCGCCTTCCTGGGAAGCTAATGGATGAGGGTACTTTGTCCTCGGGTAATAAAACACGACTTCATTCCTCTCTCTGATATGAACTAATCTCCTCTCGGCCACAGGCCCGTGAAACATTAATTCGGGATCATACCTTCTGCATGCGGCATCACCCACATGCACTCTTGCTACCTGGTTTTCAAACACACTCCTTACGTGGCAGTAACAGCAAGAGACCAGGGGTCTCTTTCAGGGCCGCGCGTGGAGTTTCTCCTGGGGTCAAGCTTGGGAAGACGCGCAGACGCAAGCACCCCTGCGGCCACAGCCCCGCACTGTGGACCACGCCAGGTGGACCTGTAGAAGTGCCCTCAGTACCCTCAGAGGTCCTCCTTCGTTCCCCAGCCACTGGCGCCCTAGCAGGTGCTCAGCAAACTATGTTCACAGTCACCCCAGAGGCAGTCTCGCTGGCTACGGTGACACTGTATCAGCTTAATTTACCTGCACTTAAAACTCTCACACCATTTGCACAGAGTCCCGGCAGCAAGTCTACCCACGCTGACCCAGGCTCCAGACTCAGTAGCCTGATGCTCAGAGCTGTGTGGCCTTGAGAAAGCCACTTACCTCTCTGAGCCTTACTCTCCTATAAAATGGGGATCACGAGCTATTACGAGGTGTAAATGAGGCTGTATAAATAAACAGCTCCTTTTAAGGACACAACACAGGATAAGAATTCAATAAAATGCTATTAAAAACTACACTGAAGATTTCTATGTTATCAAAGGCATGAAATTCTATTTCGTTTTTAGCACTGAGCTGATACATTCCTTAAATCTTTTTCCAGATATGTTCTAAGGGGAACAAAAAAGGAGGACATCTTCACCCCTGGGGATCAGAAGTCCAGCGGAGGTGTCCTGGGTGGGACACTGAGCACCTTTCTGTGGATTTCATCTGATTCCCTGAAGGGTGCTAAACCCAAAGGGCCATCCTGTTTTTGTCCAACTGCTGTGTTTAAATACCCCTCCATGACTTTGGCCCCAACATGGGTTCCTAATATGTGGCCTCACCGTGTGGCCCCTTTAGGCCTTGTTTATCTAAATCCACCACCACGCAGGAGACCCACCAGGAGAGGGGGCTGTGGGAGATGCCTGATGCACCCCAAGGGTGCCTTCTGTGCATGGCAGCCGTCAGCCCTATGGCCATCCCGCTGGTGCTGCCCCGTCCTGAGGTCGGCTGTGCTGTGTGCGGGTTCCTCCGGGTCCTTGTACGCACACTGACCCCAGAACCACTTCCATCTAGGCCAGGCACACAGCCAGGTCTCAGAGGCCAGAGCTGGAGGTTCCAAACCACACGGTCCAGTGCCACATGCAAAGGGTTGAGACAACGTGAACAGCGAAAGCACCTGTGACTGAGTTTTCCTTTGAATTCTAGTGGTGGTTTGAAGCGTAAAATGGCAGATTAAAATTGTGTGTGCGTGTGTGCGTCTGCGTGTGTAGACTGTAAATATGCTGTTTGTGAACAAACTATAAACAGTCGCAGACTAGACTTTTTCATACCAAATGGTATCTGTGAAGGAAAGATCAAATTCTCAGAGGGTATTTCGAAGGAGCAGGCAGAGAGAGACTAAGAGCTGAGGTAGCACGGGCCCAGGGACCCCAGGGCCTGTCCACATCCTGGATGCAGGAGGCTGGGGGGAGAGCTTTTACCTTCTTTCCGGTCACCATCTGTAGGCCGTCTGGGGTGGAACATGGTGGGGAGGAGGAAAGCAATGTCAAACTTGTAACAAACGTGTAGTTTGGACTACACATTATGTTCCCTGGAGTCTCGATGCTCCTCTACAAGGGGGTTGGTGAGAACAAGTGCAGAAAAGGGTTGACAACCTTCACCTCTGCTTCCACTAAACCCCTAAGACACCAGAAAAAGAAACACAGGGGGTTCCCACGCCAAGGGCAAAGAAGAGACTAGGCCGTACCAGAGAAAAGGTGCCCACGCTGGAAGTGGGTAGGAGGGCTGCGGCCAGCCAGGGAGGCGCTGGCAGCCAGCCCGTCGCTCTGGAGAACCCAGGGAGGCCCAGCACCTGAGACCACACAGGAGTGGCTCCAAACCACACCCTTACAGAGGAGGAGAGCCGCACACACGGGCCCAACACAGATCCCCTTCCGGGACACCAGCCGGCCCGAGGCCTATCCACACCACACATGGGCCAGAGGCCACCTGCCAGCTGTAAGCAACCACAGCAGCACGGACAGCAGCAGCCCCAGTTGTGAGGGAAAAGTCTCTAGAAAGATGGCCCGGACCAGGACGTGGGGAAGAGACACGGAGAAAACGCTGTGGCTGTCACAGGAGGATCCAGAGCAGAGGCACACAGGGCAGCAAGGAGGTTCCAGAGGGAGGATGGGGGATGGATGAAGCTATCCAACAGCCTAAGAAAGGTCCACGGGACCAAGGGGTGGAGACTCCCAGACCTAAACGGTCTATCGTTCTGTCCAGCATAATTAATAGGAAGGACTCATGAAACTTATCACAAAGTTTCTAAACTTCAGGGATAGAGAAAACACCTGAAAATTCAGCTTCCAGGGAGAAAGCTGCGAAGAAAACGTGAAAGCCTCAGGGCCCTGGCAGCAGCCCTAGCGCTGGGAGGTACTGCGCGGTGTGTGCACAGCTCCTCAGAGGAGGGGCTCCCAACCTCAAATTCTGTATGAAGTCACACACGGGAGTCAAGTATCCAGCAAGGTCTCAAAAATGTATCTCCTGGACACCTCTTTTCTCAAGAAGCTACAAGATATGCTGAACAAAAAACATGTAGATAAAAGAAAGGAGATGGGTTCAGGGAGCAGCATGACCCCAGCCCTGAAACACACACTTAGCGCAGGCTGGGGACCACAGTGCTACTGCCCACAGCCGTGGTGCCCATGCAGAGGGCAGAGGCCCTAGCTGGGCAGGGGAGGCAGGGGTGCGGCGAGAAGGTGAGGCAAGTGGCAATATCACAGCCATCACTGAGTCCAGAAGCGGCGACTTGTCGGAGAAAGGAAGTAAATGAGCATTCCATGGCTTCCTGGGAGAAACGCTGGCATCAGACAAGCCCGGTGAAAACTGGTGAGCCAGCCCTGGGGGGCACAGGGTACTTGTGCATGCTGCCACCTCTTACGCAGGAAGCCGACAGGCAGACCCAAAGTTGGGAGGTGGAGAAATGGCCACAAGAGTGTGTTCTTCAGAAACTCGGCATTTGGCTTGCCTCCACCCTCTTCTCACCTTGGAGAGCCAGCGTGGGCGTGAAGGGCAGAGCATCTGAAGGAGGCCGACCCAGACCAGGACTCCGCAATGACCATCGCGGATAACACCGTGGGCTACCTTACAGCAGACATGACATGTGGGGATGCCAAGGGCCACCTGAGGACATTTCTGCGAAGACTTGGTAAGACGGGCACAATGCCGGAAGCTTTCAGCACAAACCTCCCTGTCACAAACCAGGGTCTGATCGTGGCGTGGCGGTGGAAACTTTCACAACCCATCCCCAAGAATTATGTTCAGTCCCAAACCATGAGAGGTGACTTCCAAAAGTTTTAAAAACTTATCTTGGAAGATACTATTTTCTAAACACGTTTTAAAGAGCTATGGTTAATGATACATTTCTGAACATCTCCGTAAATAACCAAGGGTCTCCTACCTTGCCACCTTCCTGCTGGAGAGCCGCTTCGCTGGACTGTGCAAAATCAAAATAAACAGGAAAATCGTGTCAGAGAACAGGGAGGAAGGGGAGGAAACAGGAAATTCAGGCTGAAGAGATACGGGGATGGGGCATGTTCACAAGCATGCAGCACCCGCCGAGACCAGCGCCATACACAGAAAGGCCTGCTCAGCAAAACACTCAGGGACACAGGGGACAGTCCCAGGGCCTCGCCAAGTCACGTTTTCCCACTCCCAGAGGTCCCAGATGGAGCCGCGACCAGACCTTAGCTCCGAGGCCGAGCCCAGCACCACACCCACCGGTGGGCTGCACGAGTGCCACGTGCCAAACGCTTACCCTCCAATCACTTGGCCGTCAGAGGCCCCACATGAAATGTGACGTAAGCCTGTTTGTGACAGGAAAGTTCGGACTCGAACTTTAACTCAGGCACTGAAACCTCATGTGCCTGGGCAGTGATCTGGAAGCCCTTCCCATTGCCGCCTTGGGACCCATCGTCTGGCTGACAGAATCCTCTGAGGTGGCAAAAAAGGCCAAACTTACCTTACCTCTCATTTCTGAAGTCCGAGTTTTATTTTCAAATGTAACTGCTAAGCTACCGGCCTCAGCCCACGAGAAGACACACGCCCTCTTCCAACACAAGGACAACCCTCGTCTCCCACGCCAGGAACCAGACCCATGGCGTCTCCCTTCGGCTTGCTCATCTGAGACACGCCTGCGATTCCCGCACAGTTCGGGCAGAAAAACCTACACTGTGTCAGTTACCAATTTACGGCTGCCCACTTCCAGACTCTTCCTCCCCACTTATTCTGTGGAAAAGGATCGGGGCGGTTTTCCCAGTGTTCCTTTGCCGTGCTCTGCCAGCAGAGGGTGCTGGAGAGGGCCCTCGTGGGAGGGTCCCCATGTGTCCTCGGCTACACCTAGCTTCTGAGAGACACTGGTGGGGCTCACCCCAGATCCTGCCTGGCAGCTTCCCCAGGGGCCAGCGCCTCCCCGGGCAGTTCTGTCATGGAGCGCCTCCGGTACAGGCCGGAGGGCAGATTTCCATCAACTTCTAGAAGGTAAATTCCCAGCAAATTCCACTGGTGTGCCGTCAGGGTGACACCCGCCGCCTGGCCTCTTCACAGCTGCTGTTCCCGCGGGGCCCTCATCACTCCGTCCCTTTGGGGCTACTCACTCATCACACTCCTCACGCCCACTCCTGTGTGTCCCCTCTCCTGGCAGGGCCCCGACTCACACCACGTATGTCACCCTAATATCCTGTGGACTCCCTGAGGCTGATGGGGCAAGACAGACTCGGTTTACTTATTCAGGGGCTGCACTGCCAGTCCAGTTTTGAGGTTTATAATTTGTAAATAGACCTTATTACTCTTAACTTCTTCTTAGTATTCTTCTTAATTTCTACAAAATGAATTGTTTTCATACAGGCTGTAAGTACCTGGAAAGTATGATCACTGTGGGCACATTCCGAGGTTCACTGGGTAGAAAATATAAATGACATCAAAGCTTCCAAACACAGTTGGGACTAAATCACCTTTCATCATCCACAAACCATAACCAAATACATTTATTTTGAGACAATTTCTTGGAAACCAACAAGCAAGATTTAGATCTCCTTAACTTCAGTGTTCAGGACAACTTTCCTGACAGTTGCGTCTTGATGAGAATAACAATTTTAATGGCTCACGAACCCACCGTGGTAGGGTCTTTCTCAGGGAATGGCTCAGACTGGACAGAAGGCCCCACTGGACTTGCCGGCCACACTTAGCCACATCCCAGACTCCCCCTCTCAAAAGTGGACCCTAAGAGAGGCGACCCTGGCCGTTATGCGGCAGGTTCTCAACACGGCAAAAGATCACTTCTGCATCAAAAGTCTTCAGAAATGAGAGATGAGACACGTCTTCATGCTTACTCTCAAGAACAGAGATGGCATTCCTGTACTCAAACCCACTTAGCAGGACAGCAGTCTCCATTTGGGAAAGACAGGTGACCCCGCACCAGTCGGGTGGAGGGACCTTCCCGGAGCACTGAACACCCAGCTAACCACATACAAGAAAAGAAGACTAGTTTTCCCTACGGAAGAGCCCAGTGGGTCTTTGAAATCCCTAGTTGCCACAGTTCCCCCAAGTCTCCCTGGAAGGCTAGGTTCTCATCGGTACTGCTGGGACCTCCTCCCAGACTCCCCTCTGAGGCTTCCGACTGGCCACAAAGAACCTTCTCTACCCAACTGGGCATTTGCTGGATTGCAGTCTGTGTGGTGAGTACTGCACAGAACGTAAGAAAAAGGGGCGAAGACATCAGATGTCCTGAGCTGGAACTGGAGGCCAGTCAGGAGCACAGCAGGGCTCTCAGCCACAGGGACCCACCAGGAAGACCGAGCTGCCCTGGGCTGAGGCCCTAAGGGGGCAGGCTCCTCAAGACAGAGGAGGAATTTTTAGAAGACTACTCCAGGGGCGCCTGGGTGGCGCAGTCGGTTAGGCGTCCGACTTCAGCTCAGGTCACGATCTCGCGGTCCCTGAGTTCGAGCCCCGCGTCGGGCTCTGGGCTGATGGCTCAGAGCCTGGAGCCTGCTTCTGATTCTGTGTCTCCCTCTCTCTCTGCCCCTCCCCCATTCATGCTCTGTCTCTCTCTGTCTCAAAAATAAATTTAAAAAACGTTAAAAAAAAAAAAAAAAGACCACTCTAAACAGGCTGAAGCTGTCAGGATGGCTTGCCCTTCTGCCACATTTTACGTAACCTCCCACCAGCCATGTCCCCTCTTTTTCAGACAGCCACTTGAGATTGCCGCCTGGGAGCCCACACCACTGACCAGCACAAACCATCCCTTCCTGCCCAGTGTGAGAGCTCTTTGTGGGTCATTCACCAACTCTGCTGGCCTGGGGCCTAAATCAACAATATGCTCCATGGACGTCAATATGGGCAAGCTACTCAAACAAGTTTTCTTTAACTGGAGGGTGTGAAGTTGTGGGGATCCAGCAAAAGGAACGGTCTCCTTCTGGAGCCCCAACCTGAGTAGGGCTGGGTACAGATGGCTGAGAGGGAGGCTAACACTCTGACACAAACCAGAACTGGGAGACGGGGAGGAGGGACAGACCGGGGATGACCAAGGCCAGGGAGCAGCAGGCACATGCTGGGTCCCGGCTGCTTATTATTTTTTTTTTTTAATTTTTTTTCAACGTTTTTTATTTTATTTTTTGGGACAGAGAGAGACAGAGCATGAACGGGGGAGGGGCAGAGAGAGAGGGAGACACAGAATCGGAAACAGGCTCCAGGCTCCGAGCCATCAGCCCAGAGCCCGACGCGGGGCTCGAACTCACGGACCGCGAGATCGTGACCTGGCTGAAGTCGGACGCTTAACCGACTGCGCCACCCAGGCGCCCCGCGGCTGCTTATTTTAAAAACAGGGTAGCAAAGTTGGCACCCTGGGTGTAGAGATTACTTAAAAATAAAAATCTTAAGGGCACTTGGGTGGCTCGGTCGGTTCAGCATCTGACTCGTGACCTCAGCTCAGGTCATGATCTCATGGTTTGTGGGTTCAAGCCCCACACGGGCTCTGTGCTGGCAGTGTGGAGCCTGCTTGGGATTCTCTCTCCCCCTCTCTCTGCCTCTCTCCTGCTTGAGTGCATGTGTTCACTCTCTCTCACAATAAACTAACAAACGTTTTTTAAAGTATATTTAAAAAAATAAAAAAACTTTACAGAAACAACATATAGAGGGAAAAAAAACCCAACAACATAAAGTAATAAGTTCAAGGAAGAGCTCACTAGATGTAAACATATACTCCTGAAAGCTGTTACGAATTTGTTTTTTTTAAAGACCAAATCTCACTTTAAATTTCCCTAAGCTCTTTCATGTGACTCCCAGTTAAAGAAACCTTTTAGTAAAATGAAACATGTATCTCTTTCCGGGTGCAGACTCTCTTTCCTAAGTTGGGTTCCCTCTCCCAGGACACACAGCATGGGAAGGGAGTCTCCTCCCCTGGGAACAGAAGCAGTGGCTCAGGCTGCAGCACACACCCAGGGTGGCACATGCACAGGGCGAGGAGGGCAGACACTCCGCACATGCAGGGTTGGGGGGGGGGGGGGCCCGGGGAGGGGTCCTGCCTCCGGGCTGCGGTTCGGCCCAGCCGAGAGAGCAGCGCCTCCAGCCAGACCCACTGGCAGGAGCTGTGGGTAACTGCAGTCTCCCTCCCACTTGAACAGAGCAAGGCCAGGCACTAGTCAGTTACCTATTCTTTTCAAGATCGTTCAGGCGAGCAGAAAGATCCTCAAGGCGGTTGATTTGTTTGTGGCACTGGCTACAGTAAAACTCAAAAGCCTCATCAGTGAGGATGCTGTGCAGCTTTGCGGCAAGCGGATCAGTGCTAGAAAGACGAGAAGTGTCAGTTCAGAAGACAGCGAGGACCCGTCAGGTTATCTGTGACCCCACAGAGGGGCTGGACAAAAGCACTGTGTCAGGCTATGGAACATTCTGGCTCTTGCTTTTAGACTGCTGTGAGCCCACCTCCCTCAAGCGTCACCTCTAGGACCGGTGGTGACACACACCAGCTGGCCACACATCTGCTCCTTCCTGGTCAGGTGCTCAGAGGAAATAGGGTAGCCCATGGGCTTCATTGTAAAACACAAACTCTTCTTTAACAAGAAGCGAAATGACTGGAGATGCTGCTGCCTTGTCCTTTGTCAAAAACACACCAGTGTGAGAGCAAAGCACACGTCTCCAGGCGGGGCTTAACTTACTGTACTGCAGCTCCTTTACTCGCTGCTCTAAAGCCCACCAGTGTCAGAATTATGCATGGATGATGATCACCAACAATTCTGTCATTTTTAAGGCCTTCATTAAAAACTCAGGATTCAGGGGCACCTAGGTAGCTCCAGTAGGTTGAGCGTCTGAGTCTTGACTTTGGCTGAGATCATGATGCCACGGTCCTAAGACTGAGCGTCGGGCTCTGTGCTGAGCATGGAGCCTGCTTGGGGTTCTCTCTCCCTCTCTCTGTGCTCCCGCCCTGTACATGCACCCGTTCTCTTTCTTAAAAATAAATTAATTGGCTAAATAAAATAACTCAAGATTCTGTTTTCCTCCCTGTGATCTAATTTAAATGGACTTTCACAGCACTGGCGGGACACCCACTACAGGAAGATGAAAGCAGGAAGGCAGTGATGTCCTTGAGACATTAGGACCTGCTGGCTTTTGGAAGCTGGTTTGGAAGTTCCACGTGAAGACAGGCTGAAGGGAAATATTAGTGGTAGCGCAGAAGTTACACCTGAGACAGAAAATAGTGAAAAGGCTGGCTGGGAGGCACAGACGAGCAGACCAGAAAGACTCCCCAACTAGACAGACACGGGGTTAGCAGCGTCCAGTCCTTGGCCTCTGCCTCACACCACCACGAACACGCACGTGGAAAGAAAAGCTGCTAAAACCACGCACATATTTCGCTCACACCAACTCCCAGAGGCTCGCCACAGAGGCCCTCTCCCGGGCCGCAGGTCCTCTGGGCCAGGGCAACGGTCTCGGCAAAAGAAGGGCCTCACGGTTGCAGGTTCAGAGATACTCGGCTTCCGCTGTCGGCAAATAGAGAGGGTTTGAGGAACCTGGCGCCAAGCGGATCCGCGACTGGCGCAGAGCAGCCGCTGAGCCAGGCGGGACCTCGCCGGCACAGGCAGGCACGTCCTCAGATGGGCCAGTCACCAGCAAAAGACTGCCAGGTTCACAGGCCCCTTGTTTGGACACACGCGGAGCCCTGAGAGAGAGGTGGGCTGGAGAGGCTCTACTCCATGAGCGAAGGTCTCACCCTTTAGACCTAGCACCTCGGCCTACTCATGCAGAACGTTCCAGACAATTTGGGCATGAATCCAAAGAATCACTTGCGATGTTAAAGCCCCCGCAGAGGCTGATCAAAGGGTACAAACGTGCAGCTGCAAGAGGAGTAAGGTTTAAGGCTCGAACATAGAACATGGTAACTACACGGTATCATGTACTTGAAATCGCTGAGTAGACCGTAAATGTTCTCTCTCACACACACGTGTACGCACGGATACATACACGTATGTTCTCACACACATGTACACGCGGACACACAGGTGTTTTCTCTCACACGGGCACACAGATATATGATGTACATGTGGTCTCTCTCACATGTGTACATGCATGTGCATGTTCCCACACATGTACACGCGATGGTCTTCCACACGTGTGTACACATGGACACACATATACATGCTCTCTCATGCGTGTATGCCAATACATGCATACATGTTCTCTTACACACGCACACGTGGTCTCACACATGTGTGCACGGAAACACACACATGGTCTCTCATGTGTTCATACGGATAGTCACACATTCATGTTCTCCCACATATGTGCACACATGCACACATGTTCTCTGACATACATACATGCACACGTTCCCTCACACACGTGCACACACACACACATGCCAGGGCAGTGCAGGGCTGCATTACCTGGGGGTGAGGAAAGCGGGGTCTCTGCAGTCATGCTCCCCATTGCAGAGGGTCTCCAGGGACAGCTCTGCCTCACTGCCCTCACCATAGTCCTCAAAATGCTCCTCGCCACCTATCACCGTGACGACGGACTGGCTGTGCAGGTGGGATCTGCAAAGGCAACACAAAAGCAGCGCACTGTGACTGGTGGCTCCAGAACCGATGTTGTGATGGCACCTTCCAGCAGAGATGTGCTACTAGCCACAGGCTTGGGTTCAAACATTGTAGTAGCCACATTAGAAAGAAATAAATGAACAGGTGAGATTGATTTTAACAATATATTTTAACATATCCCAAATATCATCATTTCAGAAGCAAGACTCTTTATTCTTTATTCTGTAACAAGTATTCGAAACCGGGAGTTCACCGTACACTTCAGCGCGTCTCCTGCAAATGCACCTGTGCCCCTACCGGCAGCTGCTGTCTTCACACAGCTGCTGGAGAGTGTGCGCGCAGACGTCTGCTGGGATGTGGAGTTCAGAACAGCAGGATTCCAAGCAGGGAAGGTGAAGGGTTTGCTAGCACCCATCCTTCTGAGAGAGAGGTCACTCCTGCACACCCGCTTTCCAGAGCTTCCGGAGCACTAGGTGCCCCGGCACTGCCGGAGGCTGGCAGAAGCCGAGCCAGTGCTGGGAGGCCCAGCGCTTCACCAGGGACGACAGGAAACAGCTGTGGCTCCACCAGCACCTCCACCAGGGCTGGATTAAGCTCATCACCACTAACGGGCACACGAATCTGAGAGCTGCCCCTTTCCAAAGGGGAAAGGGGCCTCGGGGAACCAAGTGAGGGTCTCACAGGCAGAGTCAGGGACAGAAATGGGTCCCTGTGCATGCCCCCAAGACCATCACGGCTGCTCAACCCTTGGAGCACGCGCCCACTGCCAACCCAGAAATGCACGTGCCCACAGAGCAGTCCTGAAGCCACTCAGGACAAATCCCGTGGTCTTACACACACTCGCTTTCAGGAACAAGGAAACCTGAGTAAACTGAGATGGGGATGATCTCACTTCTCATCATCCTGAGGCATATACATAAATGCATTGAAATTCAGATACACTGGGGCGCCTGGGTGGCGCAGTCGGTTAAGCGTCTGACTTCAGCCAGGTCATGATCTCACGGTCCGTGAGTTCGAGCCCCGCGTCGGGCTCTGGGCTGATGGCTCAGAGCCTGGAGCCTGTTTCCGATTCTGTGTCTCCCTCTCTCTCTGCCCCTCCCCCGTTCATGCTCTGTCTCTCTCTGTCCCAAAAATAAATAAATGTTGAAAAAAAAAATTTTTTTTAAAGAAATTCAGATACATGGACAGAGATACTATATTCAAAGACTGAAGATCTGACAACGTGAAGATGTTGATTCTCCCCAAATTCATCTATAATGAACACAACCCTAACCCAAATCCCAGCGAATGCCTCTGTCCTGAAACCAACAAGCTGATTCTAAAACCCACATGGAAAGGCCAAAGGGCCAAAAGGCACCAACACAGCCTTGCAGCCTTGAAGAACAAGGCTGGAGGACTTACACAGACAGTACAATCTACAACACGCTGGAGTCCAAGACTATGTGGTACTGATCTGAGAATGGACAGAACAGAGTGCACAGTCCAGACACAGCTCCACACACTCAGCCACCTCACCTCGCAGGACCAAGGTGACACCAGACAGTGAGGGAAGGAGGAATCTTTTCAAAACTGAGGCTGAATTGAATGGATACCCATTTGGGAGATGACCCCTATCTCACACCACACACAAAAAGTCAGTTATGGGGAGATTACAGATCTGAACACAGAGGTGAAACAAAGTAAACATCATAGTTGTGTGAAGTAAGCAAAGCTTTCTTTTTTTTTTTTTTTAAATGTTTGTTTTGAGAGAGAGACAGAGAACGAGCACGAATGGGGGAGGGGCAGAGAGGGAGACACAGACTCCAAAGCAGGCTCCAGGCTCCGAGCTGTCAGCAAGAACCCAACGTGGGGCTTAAATCCAGGAACGATGAGATCATGACCCGAGCCAAAGTCAGACACTTAACTGACTGAACCACCAGGCGCCTCAGTAAGCAAAGGTTTTTAGAACAATACAGAGGTGCTAGCCACAAAATAGGAATGGATGAACCGGGCCACAGTAAGATTAAAAACACATGTTCCTCAAAGACACTAGCAGGAAAGTGCAAAGGCAACCTACAGAGTAGGAAACACATCCCTGTTATACATATCCTAGAGAAAGCACTCATATCTAAAATATATACAGAATTCCTACAAATCAGTAAGAAAAAGACAACCCAACAGATCTGGAGAAGCCAAATCCCATCCATGGCCTGTTTCGGGAAAGTAGGAATGGGACACAGACACAAGCTGCGCCACTTTCCACTTCACAGCAGAACTTGGCTGCTGAGACTATACAGCTTGCAAACCAGAAAGTATTTATTATCTGGCCTTTTACAGAAAAAGTTTGCAGATCCCTGCAATAAATAAGTGGGGCAAAAGACTTGAACAAACACTTCACAAAAAAGGATCTTCACCAAATGGGCATTAAACGCAAGAAAAGGCACTCACCAAGGAAATGCGACTAAGAATATCCCACACCAACACTGAGCTCCATGCCCTCTGGAGAAGGAACATGAGAAAGCAGCGCAGCCCAGGCGCTGTGGAGGACGGGGAGTGACCAGAGCCCTGCAGGTGGCTGGCAGGCAGGTAACTACGAGAAGCCCCATCCGTACCTGTGAGGACTGCAGTTGGTGGGGGAGCCTCACAGCCCAACACGCACATGCAGCACTGTCCCACTCCTGGGTACAAACAGGCCACAAGACACGTGGTGTTTATAGGAACTTTGTTCACAGAACCAAAGCTGTAAACCCGACCCAAATGGCCACCAACAATGAATTAAAATAAAAAGCTGCAGCACATTCATACAGCGGAAAACTCTAGTAATAATGAAAACAAGTAACTGACAACTATACAAAAATTTGGATGAACCGCAACAGCCAAAACATGAAGCAAAAGCAGCCAGGTGTAACAAGGCTACAATCCTGTGTGGTTACTTTTTTAAGTTTATTTATTTATTTTGAGAGAGAGTGTGTGCACACGAGTAGGAGAGGGGAAGAGAGAGAGGGAGAGAGAAAATCCCCAGCAGGCTCTGCACGGTCAGCATGGAGCCCAATGCGGGGCTTGACCCCATGGACTGTGAGAGTAAGACCTGAGCAGAAATCAAGAATGAGCCACCCAGGCGCCACTGGGTAGTTACTCTTCCTAAGCGCCAGGCAGAGGGCGCCTGTGAGGCTGCTGGCGGGTCCGTATACCTATGACGGCTGCACTCACAGGCCAGTATGCCATACTTCAGTTGAAGAGAAAAAAAACAAAAACTCTGTGAGGGCCAAACAAAAAGTGAAATCAAATAAAACAGGCAAAACAAAATAAAACCAAACCACTTCCAAAGCAGCTAAGTATGATGGCTTCCCACGCAGCAGAGGCAAACTGCCACCCGGAACCTGTCGGACCCTGCCCTCTCCCCTCGCTGGTCTTCAATCACGGGGGGGAAGCCTGGAGCAGGGGCGGGGAGGGCGGAAAACAGATCTGGGCAGGGGTGCAATAAAGACAAGTGGGTTCTAAGATCCTGCTGGGAGATGTGCCCTGAATATGGTGTCCTGCCCTGGTTTCTAAGAACTTCGGTGAGAAATCCAGGATCAGGTTTCTCTCTACAGCCAAGGAAGTTGTGCAACATGTCTAGCCAGGGTCATCTGCGGCCAGCAGGAGGAGCACCTCCAGGCAGGGAGGTCCGTGGGGGCTGGGAGCCGGCTCAGGGCCACAACGAGCATGGGCTCATCCCACAATGACTGCATAGCCCTCTGACACCAACCCGTCCACAAACCCAATCTGCCCTTCGGGCACAGCCACTCGGTTGGTGTCTTGCAACCAATGCTTGTGCTGTGCAGGGGCAGGGTACTGACCTCCCTGGGAGCAGTAGCAAGGCGCCGTGGCCAGGCTCCTCCATGGCGTCCAGGCACTCGGAGGGCACAGCTGAGCCACCGGCGCTGTCGGCATCCCCTTCGGCTTGCAGCTCAGGGTGCACCAGGGTGCTTGTGTCCTCGTCGGTGAAGGTCTCACACTCACTGTAGGTGCTCTCGGAACCCATGTATGCGCTGTCTGTCACCTCGTTGGCCTAGGAGAGAGCGCCAAGGGTCAGTCCCACACCCTGAAGTGGTCACATATCAGTAAACCCCGACGCTCCACACAGTGCTCTGCTGCAGGCATCAAAGAGACAGCGTGGAGAGACAGCCTCAGGCAGGGCCCCCCAAGCACCTCTGAGCAGAAACGTTAGCTTACAAAACAATCCAATATTTTTGAAAACTGAAACATAGCACATGTTCCAAAGCAGAGTAAGTACTAAAGCAATTCTGAAAGTTAGTTGTAGAGGTTACCCAAAACAGGAGGTATCCAACACCACAGGATTAAGTGTGAGTGGAACCACCCATATGGCTACCAGCACTGAAATTATTTCTATCCAAAGAACAGTATAAGAACATACGTTTTTCAATTAAAAAGTCACCATCAATATGTGTTATGTATGTTCAGGTTACTGCTTTGAAATTCAAGTACGTGGTCTAACCTCAAAATTCTAACCCATCAATTATTTAACCAACCCACTGTGTTCACTGGTTAAAGACCTTTCCACAGAACCTACCTTTATTTCCACTCTTATGGACCCAGCACCCAGCACAGGGTCCGGCAGCGCAAATGACTTAAATCCAAAGAACTATTCAACAGGCCATTTTCAATTTATAACCTCAGCTGTAATTCCAATGCAAGTGCACTGGCTAGGGAAAGGAGCCAACATTTCAGGCTCAAAAGAATCTGAGGTCAACCACTTGCAAACAAGTGAGATTCCAGAAAAGGAGTTGGAAGAAAGTGCATTCTGTCCAGTTGCTCTGGTGTCACAAGGGGACAGCGTGCTCAGATGTGCCTGGTAACAAAAAGCCCCCCACCCTCCGCCAGCGTTGAGGGCCTCTCCTGGCTGCATTCCCGGGGTGCCTTGTCCCATCGAAGAGGCGCGAAGGGCCCAGGTCGAGCTGGCAAGAGCCGAGCACGCCAATGACAGACCAGGGTCCATCCGTGGCCAGCCCATCCACCAGCCCAATGCCCCTGCACTGGGGTCCCAACCACTCTGAGTCCTGTCAAGTGGGACTGGGATTAAGAGACCACACAGGCAGGTACAGAAACTTGGAGGACTGTGGGGCCCGCGAGTCCCTGGGGAGGCAGAATCCCTGCCCAATGTCTGTAAGGCCAGAATGAAACAGAATGATGTGAGAGCAGGCACTCGTTGACGTTACCTCGTTACCTATGTTTCCACAGGAAAACCAAATCTTCCTTGGAATCTAAGGCAACTAAGGAACTCCTAAAAAGCACTCACTTCAAAACCTGAAACCAGGAAATCCCTTTCAGAGGCATGGCCTCTAATACTGTCGAACATCACCATCAATGAACAGGTACCACTTTCTGCCAGGCTCAGGACTGGCTCTTTGCTCCACGGATGGGCAGCATGGGCAGAGACGGGCAGGGTGAGCTAGGCAGGCTCCTCAAAGTCGGGGCTGGCCCGCAGGGTAGGCACAACAGAGCAGGCACAAAATTCACAGCCAATTCCTGGCTTCTGCTGAGGGGTGGCTGCTGGTTTACTGCCCAGGTGACACCGCACACTCACAAAGGGGGGGCTGCCCGAGAATCACCCAATGGCGGGAGGAAGACCTCCCCCACCCCCTAGACTTCAAACAACAACAAAGACCACTGTTGGCTATTAGTATCCAGACGAAAACTCCTAAAAGAAAACACTTCCTCATCTGCAAAACAGTCCCACGCAGCCCTGCTCACCTTGACTACTTAGTCCTCACACCTGGGAAGCCAGCAAGACCCACACCCTCCAATCCCCACCAAACAGGTCCATCAAGGGGCCCCCAGACACTGACTGGGGACCCTGAGATGATTTCCTAGACGGAACAGGAAACAGGACTTAACTCCTGAGGTCAGCTTTTAAAAAAACCAATGAACCAGCACCTCTGAAAAGCATGACGCTCCTCTCTGGCCCTCATGGACTCCATGCCCTCGATGGGCAGCTCAGCGTGTGGCAGGGGGCTGAGGGCCCTCTCCCCAAGATGGTCCTGTCTGGCCCGCATGGACCCCCTGCCTTCGACGGGCAGCTTAGCGTGTGCCAGGGGGCTGAGCGCCCTTTCCCCACAATGCTCCTCTCTGGCCCACATGGACCCCGAGCCCTCAATGGGCAGCTCAGCGTGAGCTGAGGACCCCCAGGAAGGGAAGGAGGGTCCAGGCACTCGGGCTTGTCTCTTCTGTGTGCAAGGAGCCCACCTGAATTGCACAAGTGAGGCTGGGGCTGTGGCCTAAACCCTCCCTGGGGCTTGGCCAGGACAGTTGTGGGTGCAAGTCCCTGTCCACGGACACAGAAACAAGGAGGCAAAGGAGTCACAAAGCAGCCTGCCGCAGCCTGGGCATGGAACTCTGCTCTAGGGAACTCGCTCACCTTTTAAACAGGCAGGGCAGGGCAGGGCAGGGCGAATGTTCCCCTCCACCCTCCACTCCTTGTTCCTCAAGCAAAGCCATTCCTCCGACACAGAAGGAGAGTCAAAGAGATGAGCCCTGTTTCCCATTTCACTGAAGGCTTCATGTCTGCACTTACACTCCAAATTATAAGTAAGAGGAGGTCGGGTCCTGGAGTGTCAGGCACCCGCTGGGGGTGCTGAGCTGCAAATAGCCTCTTACCTGGCGGTCAGAGCCCCAGGGCACAGGAGCTGCGTGTTCTACACCTCCCTCCTCACCCCCTGAGGGTCAACTTTTACGATTCAAGAATGCCCTGAAAAAAATCCCAGCAAGCCAGGCAGTTTTCCAGAGTAGCAAGGTAAGCATCTGTCTTTTCAGAGAAGCAGGCAGAGCTCACCTCGGGGCGGGGGGCAGTCTAAAGACACGGGACAAACTCACGGACTTGCCCCATCAGCTCAAATTTGCTACCACAAGGGACCCAACTTTGCCCGGAAGCACACAAATCTATGCTATCCACTTTCAGAGTACTTATAAACTCACAGGCTGGGACGAACTCACTTGAAAATCAAGTGCACCTGGACAGCTGTGCCACACGCTAGCAATGATGTCACCGGTTACGAGGAAGCAGGGTTCAGAGCCACCGGCGAGGGGCTCCCATGTGGCCAACACTGCCCAGGGTCTTCACTGTCCAGGTCATGGCCCCTCTGTGGGACGGTGACTGTTTGTTTCTGTGACCTGCGGGTGCTAGCCCGGGCAGCCTCAGTGGGCTCCACGCACCAGCCCCAGGAAGGGCGTGCTCTCCGAAACAGATGCCCTCCCCCCAGAAAATACTCAGAATTCCTCCCACGGAAATACTGGGGACATCTGTGCAGATCAGTCACTAGCTTCATTCGACTAACCTTGCGGCCTTCCTATCTGCAAGTGGTGCTGGCGTTTCAGCAAAACCTTCGTGCTCCCCTGAAGGTAACGATGAAGCCTCGGAAAAAAGTTTAACCTGCTCCCAGACACGCTTCATTAAGCGTCCTGCTGTGCTGACTGGGGGAAGGGGGACAAAGTTCAGGAAGTGTCCTTGTTGGGTTTTTAACAGTCACTCCTCAAAACAGTGGCTTTTGTTCTTGACTTTCAAACCTCTGTTGTAACAGTTTACAGAAAAGGCACGGTCGCCATCATTTTATTAAGGCAGCTCTTTCCTCTAGGGGCCTTGGTAGGAGGAGGGAGGGACAGAGAAGGCACAGCAGGGACAGTTCTTATCATTTCTGTTTGTGCCAGTTCTCTGACCCTCCCATGGTCATGGCCCTTCCAGAAACCCTGGGGGCAGAGCTCCACCCCCCCCCCCCCCCCCCCCGCCCCCCCCCCCGCCAGCACGCTGCAGGGCCTGGGGCACTCCTCCCTGCATGCCTGCCTCGTCCCGTCCCCTCCCCTCCCCTCACTGCTGCCCTCACCCCTCCCCCACTCCTCAGGGAGGCCACGTCGTAACTCTCCTAGGGGTGACTCGAGCAAGGAGCCCACAGGAAGCAGGGGGGGACCCCGGAGCAGCCCACCAGTGGACTGCAAAGCACCCCTGCCCCCCCACCGTTGCGTGCTGGGCCAGAAGTCATTACAAAGCTTATTTATCTCTGAAGGTCACCAGAAGAGGGTAAGATTTGCAAGTAATGCCCATATTTTCCACCCATATTTTTACCAAAATTTTTTCTTTTAAATGTTTGTTTTTGAGACAAAAAGTGTGTACGTGCACACGAGGGGGTGGAGGAGGAAGGGCAGAGAGAGACAGGGACAGAGGATCCAAAGCAGGCTCTACACTTACAGCAGCGAGCCCAACATGGGCCCGAACCCGTGAACCACGAGATCACGACCCGAGCTGAAGTCAGAGGCTCAATGATGGAGCCACCCAGGCGCCCTTGAACTTGGAAGATTATATGACATGCAAGCTTTTTTAAAAGAACATCTTTCTAGAAGTTTCACAGTACCTGGTTCCAGTCCCCTGAAAGTTACACCTAAAGATCATAAAAAGACACGGAAGAGCCTTTTTGGGGGGCGGGGGGGGCTTAAATACACATTACTAAGCAAGAGAAGCCAGGCAGCAAAGGCCACACACTGGATTCCAACTCTGTGACATTCTGGAAAAGGCAGAACTATGCATACAGCATAAGGTCAGTTGCTGCCAGGTGCTATCGGGGAAGGAAGGGTGAGTCCAGGAAGCAGAGCGGGCGGAAGGCAGTGAAACTCCTTGGCAGGATACTACACAGGGCACACATGACCTTGTCCACTTGTTAAAACCACCATGAGGGAGCCCTAGTGTACACAGTGGGCTTTTGTTAACAGCAACAGATCATCAGTTATAACAAATGCACCACACTAATTAATGCAAGACATTCACGATGAAGGAAACTCTGTGTGTATGTGTGTGTGTGTGCGCGCGCGCGCACGCGTGTGTGTGTACAGGGGAGAATGGGGACTCTCCGTACTATCTGCTTCATTTTCTGAAAAGCTAAAACTGCTAAAATACAAAGTGTATTAATTTTTTTTAAGTAACAAAACATAACCTTATCCTCCTTTCTGAAAAACAAATTAGCATCCTTTGAAATTTGCATTCTTTGAAACATCGGGTTCCCACCATGCCTTCCAAAGGCGACAGGCGAGCGCAAGGCGGGAGCTGGTACCCCCAAGGGTACCACACTCCTGTGGGCCTCGGGGATCCACCTGCACAAGGACGGGAAGATGCGGAGTTGGACAGGACCCCCAGGTCTGCTCTGCTCAGGGTTCAAGAGGCAGCCCCAACATCAGAGGCTCCCACACGTCTGGACCAAATGAACTCTTGGAAGTACAAAATGTGTTGATGCCTCCTACTACCCTGAGTGACCCTGTATCAGTGTCCTAGGGCAGCCACATCAAATGACCACAAACCGGGCAGCTTCAAACAACAGGAATGTATTCCGGCCAGCAAGGGTAAGCGCTTCCTGAGATTCCAAGGGAGGCTCCCTCCTGCCTCGTCCAGCTCCTGGTGGCCCCGACTGCATCTTTCCAGCGTCTGCTGCATCAGCACACTGCCCCTGTGTGTCTTCTCCTGGCTTCTAAGGACACCAGTCATTGGATTCAGGGCCCAGCCTACTACCCAGAATGATATCATCTCGAAACCCTCAACTTATTACATCCACAAAGACCCTATCTCCGGGGCGCCTGGGTGGCGCAGTCGGTTAAGCGTCCGACTTCAGCTCAGGTCACGATCTCGTGGTCCGTGAGTTCAAGCCCCACGTCGGCTCTGGGCTGATGGCTCAGAGCCTGGAGCCTGTTTCCGATTCTGTGTCTCCCTCTCTCTCTGCCCCTCCCCCATTCATGCTCTGTCTCTCTCTGTCTCAAAAATAAATTAACATTGGGAAAAAAAAAAAAAGACCCTATCTCCAAATAAGGTCACGTTCACAGGTTCTGAGTGATCGTACCTTTCAGGAGACTACTATTCAACCCACTGCACCCACTATGATGATCCAGCAGAAACCTGAGACAAGGATAGAGCAGAAGATCCTGATGTAGGTGCTCGGGCTCCGCTGGGAGGGGGATAGAGGTCTGATGGTCACTGACTGCAGAAGTGTTGTGACCCCTCAGATGCGCTAAACAAGGAAAGAAAGACTCCCCTGACCTTAGGTACATTCCTGGAAAATTCAAGGTGTGTCAAACTGCAAAGAGGCTTCTCCACCTTGCTGGAAAGGGAGCCAGCCCCGCTCCAGTCATGAGAGCAGCCACCCTACATCACAGGGTCTGGCAGCCCATCTGAAATGTGATGCATCAGAATCCTGCCCTCCTGCAGCCCCTACTTGGCCACACATGCCCCATGTGACATCTGGTGCCCAATGCCAGGACCGGGCCTGACACCCCACAAAGTCACATGCAAAATGAACACACCAACCTCACCAAACAGGATGCAAGGTGGGGTGGTCCCTGCCCTCGGGAGGCTCACACTTGGCTGGTACTCTGGGACAAAGCTGTGGTGAATGCTCCCAGTTGGCCCAGAGGTCTATGCCAGCAGAAGAGATGGTCAGAAAGTGAACCTATGTTATCTGAGGTCTGACCAATACCTGGAGCAGCCTCTCAGAGCCAGGACACAAGACCCCAAAGGAAAGTAGTGAGTCCCTGTGGACTGTGAGAAGCCACTCTGTGCAACTCCCTCATTTTACCAAGGCACCAAGGCTCACAGCCACCGGGTCACAGCCTGGCCCTGTTCCCTGCACCCCTCTGAGCAACAGAGGACTGAGGGGCTGGTGGCTACCATCACCACCTTCCCCACAGCTCTTCAGGCGCTCAGGAGTTTCTAATGTATTTTTTTAATAAGAAAAAACTGCAGGTCCAGCCACATGGGCTGTCCCAGCATCTGCTCACCCCTCCAACCGGCGGGGGGGGGGGGGGGGGAACGGATGGACAAAACTGTGGTAGCCTCCTGTGACTGTGCTCACAGACCTCCGCCCTGCCATGCAGAGAACAAAACACCCACAATTACAGGTGACACCATGTAACCATAGCAACCTTAGAGGCAGGTGGCAAAGGAGCACGAGGTGTTACAAGTCCCTAAACCCCAAAAACGACTTGAAATTCGGTAACATGAAAACCTTACACAAGACCTCTGCTCTGGCCTTGCTTGGCAGCCTGGCAGAAGGTGACAGCAATAGCACTGGAGAGCCCTACCAGCCCAGCCCAGCTCTCTGCTGACAACAGGCCCCAAGGGGACCGCCGTCAATGATCTCAGGTGAGCAGTGGTGGAGCAGACACCTGCCGACCCTCTGCCGCAACCAGGAGCCCCCCCAGAGCCCCTGGCCGCGGACACAGGGCTGCAGAGTGAGCCCTGCCCTGCCCTCCCTTCCACTTCCTGCAGAAATATCCCCGGTACCACTAAGTGGAGCGGGATTCAGAGGGCAGAAAGGAAGACGTGTCACATCAAACTCCCTCTCAGCCCCTCAGTGAGAACCACTTGCCTCAAAGGTAACGAAGTCGTCGAACTCATCGGGGCAGGCGGGCGGCTCCTCGTCCTGGGCAGGTGCAACCCCGCACAGCTGGCCATCAGACTCTGCAGGAGAGAAGACCCAGTACTCAGCAGGAAGCCTAGACCAGCCCCAGAGGCCATGGGGGAAGGCGCCAGAGGGGTGAAGGCGAGCCCTGCTCGGGACAGCCAGTGAGAAGCCCAGGGGAGAAAGCGGCATGGTTACGACGGGGAAGCACGTGCCCCCTCCCCCCAGAGAGGTGGTGTAGAGGCAGAATGATAAAACGTTTGTTTCTTTAGACCCCCAACAGCACTGCAAAAGAGAAGGAGCAAGATCTCAAGCCCATGACACTGTTCATGGGCTTTAAAAAGTATCAGGTACCAGATTTAAATTTTTTAAAACTGTGTGTGTGTTTGGGGCCATGTAGGTGTGATGGAACTATACCAAAATAGCATCTTGCCCTCGGTGTTGCGCTCGCTGGCAGTTTTTATTGCCTTCATTTTTGCTGAACTTTTTTTTTTTTAATTTTTTTTTCAACGTTTTTTATTTATTTTTTATTTATTTTTTATTTATTTTTGGGACAGAGAGAGACAGAGCATGAACGGGGGAGGGGCAGAGAGAGAGGGAGACACAGGCTCCAGCCTCTGAGCCATCAGCCCAGAGCCCGACGCGGGGCTCGAACTCACGGACCGCGAGATCGTGACCTGGCGGAAGTCGGACGCTTAACCGACTGCGCCACCCAGGCGCCCCTCTGAACTTTATCTTTAGCAATAAATGTCTTATCTCATAATAAGGAAAATTGTAAATCCAAAATAAAGGGGTGAGTGGACACACCAACATACCGGGAGGTGAGCGCAAACTCCATGGGGTAGAATCCCCTGCGTTCCAGACCCTTGCACACCTCACCCCATATACCTCTTCATCTAGCTGTTCCTTTGTAACCTTGTGAGTAAACTGCTAATGGTAAGTAAAGTGTTTCCCTGGGTTCTATGAGCCATTATAGCAAATTATCACACCTGGGGGAGGGGTACTGAGGACCCCGGATTCATTGTCAGGTCAGAGAGAAGTGTGGGTGGCCCAGGAGGGTGAAGTGGGGTCTTCACGAACTCTGACAGTTGGTGTCAGAGCAAATTAAATTGTGGGACACCCAGCTGGTGTCCCTAGAGAACTGGTGATCCCAGAGAACTGGAGAATCACTTAGTGAGGAAATCCCACATACTTGGTGTCAGTGTTATGAACAGAACACAGATCATAATAGGAATTACTTATTTAAAATACATCACTTAGGAGGGCCTGGGTGGCTCAGTTGGTTAAGTGTCCGACTCTTGATTCTGGCTCAGGTCATGATCTCACGATCTGTGAGATTGAGCCCCGTGTCAGGCTCTGTGCTGATAGCGCGGAGCCTGCTTGGGATTCATACTCTCTCTCTCTCTCAAAATACATAAGTAAACTTAAAAAAAATATTTTAAGTACATAAGTTATTTAATATATCTCACATGATCTAACGTCACATCAGTCCCTTATTTATTTTTTGAAGTAAGCTCTATGCCCAGCGTGGGGCTCAAACTTGCAACCCCAAGATCAAGAGTCACAAGCCCTTCCAACAGAGCCAGCCAGTCGCCCCCAGAGGACAACTTTGCCAATGGGACCACATGGAGAGAATGTTGCTAGCCATCCCCATGTCCTCCAGCCGGGCTCTGAAGACTCAGTGGTTTGACGTTACTGCAAGAGCCCTGGTAAGCAGGGAAGGGAGAACAGATACTGAAGGGCCCTTCACCACACGGCAACGGCAGGACCCACAGCCATTCTGTCCTGTGTCTAAATGACTCTCTTGGGTTGCTTGAGTAGCTCAGTCAGTTAAGCACCCGACTTCAGCTCACATCATGATCTCACAGTTCGTGGGTTCGAGCCCCGCGTCCAGCTCTGTGCTGACAGCTCAGAGCCTGGAGCCTGCTTAGGATTCTATGTCGTCCTCTCTCTCGGCCCATCCCCTGCTCACGCTGTCTCCCTCTCTCTCTCTCTCTCTCAAAAATAAACATTAATTTTTTTTTAATAAAGGACTCTCAATTTAAACAGAATAATGCTTTCCCTTAACAACAGTGTAAATTGAAATATTTATGTATCACGCAATTATGAGATGCCTTTGTCAACTCAAAGCTACTTTGCAGTACTGATCAAAGCCCTCATGCCAAAAAAAAACTCCTATGTGGCCTTTAAGAATCACGGGCACTTTTGTTGCTGTTGTTTCGTACCATTTTCCCCAGGAGTGTGGTTAAGTATCCCAGCGGGGCGGATGGCAGCAGGCAAGGAGGAGCATGGGAGCCCACACGCCGGGGCCCCTGTACTGGGAGGTGGGGTCTCTGGTGCAGGTGACGCGGTGAAGGTGGCTGTGGACACAAGTTTGGGGTTTCTGGGGCAGGGGCTGGAGGGCCCCAATCACCCCCGTGCACGTGTCTTTGTAAAAAGCTACGCTGTCTTTGGCCTATGTCCCCTCTGAGATGTTAAGTCTTCCCTGCCCTCCGAAGCCTGAAACCCAAAATTCAAAGCTCTCAAAACACAACCGATGGTTCTAGATGTGGTGGATTGTGCTCAGCCTCCAGAGGTGGACAAATGGTCTTGCCCCACACTGTGGAGAGGGGGGGTGGGGACAAAGCTAGTGCTGCCATATTCCTCATGGGAACTAAGTATGATTGTTCTGTAAGTTTTCTCCATGTGAATTAAAACAATTTTCAGTTAAGTGGACATTTTTAATGTGCATTCATCCTACTCTTCCAGAGCTTGGGGGAGGGCGTAGCCAGTGTAATGGCCTATTTGTAGCAATCTGCAGCGCCCCACCCCCCCGCCCCGACTCATTCTATTCCTGAAATAAGGCAGGTCTGTGGTATGACAGTGAAAATCTCCCTGTGCTTCACTGCAAACTGGGTCAACACACCGTGTCCCTTGCTGTGTCGCCCCTGGGTGCAGAAGAGGCCCGCCGGCCAAGACAGGCCACCCGCACGCTGGAGGAGCACCGGAGACAGCTCCATGGAATGTGGGTCTGTGATCACATGCTGCACCCTCCCAAATGCTATCACGTCACAACTTCAAAATCAGCTTTGACTTGCTTTCATTACGATTTTATTTTCAGTCTCCTTTCCTAATGAAACTTAAAAGATGAAGTCAAACTACAGAGAAAAGAAAAACAAAGCCTGAGCCCCTGATACCACCTGGCAGTACGTCCGATGCAGGTGGGGCATCCCCACCAACACGGCCTCCCCTGAGCCCACATGGGCTGTGGACACCTGGAGGCCCAGCGCCTCATGCCCACTCTCGGATGTGGTCCCCGTGAGCTGGCACTGAGCCCAGGGGCCAGTCACTCACCCACCCACCCTGTGGGGAAGTCCAAGTCCTCCCTCGTTGCCCACAGCCTGGCCGTGTCCCCAGTGCCTTCACCTCCACCTTTTGACCCCGCCTGCCCAACCTGGCCACGGTGGCCTCCCTGCAGCCCCCAAACACGCCAACGCGCCGTACTCTGGCACCCCTACCCCTGCTTCACCCTCCTCCTGTAGCTGCTGTGCCTCGCTGTCTGCGGGCTGTCCTCCGCTGGAAAGCCAGCTCCCAGGGGCAGGGGACACTGTTCTTCCACATGGGCTGTGTCCCTGGAGCCTAGATCAGTCCGGCTCGATGATATCTGTACCCGCACTCCTCACGGGCCTCAGCCGTGCCTCCCTTGGCTGTGGCCCTCACGCCGTCCGCTTCAAGCTCTCGTCGCCACAATTCCCCTCAGCCCAGCCTCTGGCCAGAGCCCCTCTGCCATGCACCCTGGCAGCAGAATGCGCCTCCACGGCCCACCACCTCACTTCGGGAGCAGGGGTCTGCTCTGTGCAGGCTAAATTCCAGGCAGGGGGACATCACCTGCAATGTGGCATCGCACTGAGACCAAGCCTCGCCCTCTGGGGACGCTTCTATTCCAGAATGTTCTCGCCAAAGGAAAACACACAGCACTATTTCCTGGAGCATGCATGCTAACTCTGGGACTGACTGGGAGGTTTTTGTTTTTAATTAAACCAAAGTGGAACTATTACCAGCAAGAATGAGAAAATACGGAGACTCAAACAATTCCTGTGGGTGCTCTGTGTGGTGCGTGGGCCGGCCTGAGGCAGGACTTCGCTGTGGTATCCTGACTTAGAAGCTCAGAGCAGCGAGGCACTGCTCCTAGGTTCAAAAGGCAGTGCAGCTGCAGCACTGGACAGACAGAATGCAGCTGGCCAGGTGCCATGAGGGTGGGGAGGGACCAGGTATCCCTGGTCAGGGGAGCCAAGAGAGGGGGCCCCAGGGGAGAGCGGGCTAGAGCAACTCCAGCCAGCTCCTCTCAGGCACAGCCCAGGACCCTCCCAGGGCCTCACCTCAGGCTCCCCTCTGCCAGCTCCTGTGACAGACACAGGGGGACAGCCCACACAAAGGCAAGCAGGAGGGAGGAGGGGTGGCAGGTGCAGGCAGAGGCCCTGTCTCAATGAGTCAGGGTGAGGTCAGGACTCAAGGACACAGGCCACTTCTCACACCACACTGATACCCATGTGCTCCTTGAGTCACTCAACTTCAAGACACATGCAACCCACGAGACGGCCCCACGGGGCAAGAGCCAGCAGCCCCTCCTTCTCTGCAGATAAAGAATCAGCCTGTGCAGGGATGGCTCTTCTCCCCTGCCAGGCGTCAGCGGGTCACAAGTTTTCCAGGAGCGCTTGCTGACTCCCAGGTCACGACCCTCCAGGAACTCCTCCAGCCGAGCTCCATTTTGCATGAACTGTGCCTATTAGATCAGACCAGCCACCAGCCTGCCCACAGAATCCTGGACTGTGGCTGAGAGAGGGCCTCAGAGCCACACGGACAGCACCGGCCACCTGGCTGGCTGCCACACTGGGTTCTTTCCTGCCCAGACCCACGGGACCAGCTGCCACTGCTGTTCCCAGCCCTGACTCTTCAGAGGAATCTGTGTTGCTCAATCCCCTAGACCCAAGGAAGCCCATGGATGCTGCTGTGGCTGTGCCATCAGTACCCCCACACATCAAGCTTCCCACCTGACAGGCGTGACCAGCACGCTGTGCATCTGCGGTCACCCAGGGAGATGGGTTCCTGTCTGTGACGGACAGTGGTCACGACAAACCTAGGGGGCACACGTCATCACTCCTGGGGCCGGAGAACGGAACGGCGCTGACAGGCTGAGGCAGCACAAGGCAGTCCTCACACCCTTACCCTGTCGTCCTTGTCCCTCTACACAGTGTTTCTAAGTAGCTCCTGTGAATTCCTGGATTCTAGAATTTTCTTCCAACATCCTGCATAGTACTTGAGGATTTTAGCATTAGCTTCTCCACCTTCCCTCTCCTAACCTTCCAAAATGGTTAAGTCCCAGTCATTGGTTACATAAACGGTTAATCTGTTTAATTACTATGACTGTGTAAAATGGCATTCATTGCCCAGCCACGCAGTATTCTAGAAGCACGTTTTCCCTCTTTTTAGGCTTCTTGGTTTTCCCGGCAATGTTAACTGCTTTCTGGGGACTCAGGCTTGGCCTCTGTACATCTGTCGCCTTCTTACCCCCAAACCATCAGGCAGAGCAGTGAAGCCTTCTCCACTGACCTACCGGTTCTGAGCTCCTCAGACTCCATCACCATCAAACCAGCACGAGGGTGAAATAAAGCCATCTAAAACTAATGATGCCACCACGTTTGTGAGACGTGCGTCTCCTCCCTGTGACACCGAGATCAAACAGACAAACACAGGAAGTCTCAACCGTACACGCATGAGCCCGTGTACTCTGGTCAGAGAGTAAGTATTCCACCAAGCACACACACAACACGTGTGAGACCCGGCTGTGTGGCACACCACGAGATAAACTCAACAAGGAACAGAGTGAAGAGAGAAGCACGCCTGGATGGCTCAGTCAATTAAGCACCCGACTTTGGCTCAGGTCATGATCCTGTGGTTTGTGGGTTTGAGCCCCGCATCGGGCTCTGTGCTGGCAGCTCAGAGCCCGGAGCCTGCTTCGGATTCTGTGTCTCCCTCTCTCTCTGCCCCTCCCCCAACTCCCTCCCCCTCTCTCTCTCTCTCAAAAATAAATAAACGTAAAAAAAAGTGAACACAGAGATCCCATTCTCTATCACACACAATTAGGTTTAAAACTAATGACAAGATTTTTTTCAAGTTTTTTTCTTTTTTTAATGTTTATTTATTTATTTTTGAGAGAGAGAACACGAGCAGCGGAGGGGCAGAGACAGAGAGAGGGAGACAGAGAATACAAAGTAGGCTCGGGGCTGACAGCGCAAAGCCCAACACGGGGCCAGAACTCATGAATCTGAGATCACGACCTGAACCACAAAGTCTGATGCTTAACCAACGTAAGCCACCTGAATGCCCCTAATGACCAGATTTTTATTTGTTTGTTTAGCATTTACTTATTTTGAGGGAAAGACAGAGCATGAGCAGGGGAGGGGCAGAGAGAGGCAGAGACACAGAATTCGAAGCAGGCTCCAAGCTGTGAGATTTTAAAACACCTTTTGAAACCAGGATGCCTGGGTGGCTCATTCAGTTGAGCATCTGAGCATCCGACTTCAGCTCAGGTCATGATCTCATGGCTCAGAAGTTCAAGCCCCACATCGAACTCTTGTACTGACAGCTCAGAGCCTGGAGCCTACTTCGAATTCTGTTGTCTCCCTCTCTCTCTTTGCCCTTCTCCCACTCATGTTCTGTCTGTCTCTCTCTCTCAAAAATAAACATTAAAAAAAATACACTTAGAAATTAAAATAACTTTTAAATAATTGACGAGTCAGGGAAATCATACTGGATTTTAAAACATACTGGATTTTACCGAAAGTTGTTGGAGCACAAAGCCATTCCAAGGGTCCTGGGCACAGGTGCACTGGCCCAGGGAGGTCCTGAGGAGCATGGCTGGGGGCAAGTGAATGTGCTCCATTCAGGAAGCCTCCAAAAGCACTGGAGGTGGAGCAGAGGCCAAAATGTGCATGAAACCACCATCAAACTTTTTGTGCAAAAGGGTGAAGGCTTAAACAACTTCCTGTTTTAACTACATGTCTAGCCTCAGAAAATCACCTAAGGATTACAACATACTGGTTACAAGGGGAGAGACATAGGCATGTGGTGCTAAGCCTAAACACTCCAAGTTCATCTGAGGGCTCTCTTCTTCCTCCCTCTGCCCGCATGGCGTTACCCACGTCATCCATCCCCTGCTAGTACCACCTCACAGAGGGTCTCCTGCCTCACGCCTGCTCTACATGTCTCTCCCCAGGCCCCATCTGCCCAGGAGATGGTGGCATCCTCACCACGGCCCCAGGGCCTGCAGACTTTCCATCAGTGGGCTCAGCCAACCTCATCACAGGCCTCAGGACAGCTCCGCCACCTGGACCAGACCTCACTCCAGCCACCCTTACCTGGCTCCCCTCCGGCCCTCCTCACAGAGGGCTCCTACCTAGAGCCAGGCTGTATGGTTCTATGGCATGGCCCCCTGCCACCATACGGACCATTCCCTCTCTCGATATGTGCTCTGGACCCAAAGGACCACAGGGCCCCCAGACTATGGTAGTATTCACACAGGTCCCGAGACACAGAGCACATCTCAGAACCACCTGGGCTCAGCATCACAGGAAACCCAGTTCCTATAGGACACCGTTGGGCAATACAGTAGACAGACAGAGGACTGACAAGATAGGTGACTCTGCCAACAACTGCTGATGAGACTTGGAGTCCAAGGGCCTCCCCTGACCCAGCCACCGCAGGTCCTGCCCCTGTTCTCCCTCTTCCTTTTCCGACAAGTGCAGGAAGAAGGGAAGGGCTTGCTTGCAACCAGTGCCTTTCGGCCACCATCACCCCCACACACCTGGCTGAAGCTGGGGCATGAAAAAAAGAGGGCTCTCCAGAGCTCCAGAATTCGACGTGAAGGGACAGCATACGGGCAACTCGAGTGCACGTGAGATACTAAGCTCACACCCAGAAGGCCAGCCATCCCACTCCTGTGTACAGGCCCCAAAGGCATGAAAACATGTGCCCACACAAAGAATTATACACAAATGTCACTAGGACCTTTACTCATAACAGCCCCAAACTGGAAACATACTAGCCCCAAAACAAGTGTCCACCCCTAGGCAGAGAGAAACGACACATGGTACAAGAATACAATAGAACTGCTCTGCCATCGAAACACAGACCCCAACCGTGCAACATACGTGCGTCTCAAAAACGTCACACGCAGGGAGACACCAGACGTAGAGCACATACTGATCATTTCCTTTGTGTCAACAAAGCCCCTACGAGGCAAAACTGACCTAGGGTGATGAAAATCAGCCAAGACGGTGCTGAGAGGGCAGAGAGGCCACGTGGAGGCCATGAGGAAGAGGTCTGCAGGGATGGTAACACTTGGTAGAGATTTGCATTATTAGACATAAGAATTTGTCAAAATTCAGACTGGCTTAAGATTTACTTAAGATTTGGGCATTTCACTGTAAACTTTTACTCAAGGTAAGACTGCAAACAAATATTGAACTGTAGGTAATGACTGGCACACATGCTGAAGTGTTCAGGGTGAAATGTACAGGAGTATGCAACTTGTTAGGGTGAGTGTACGTACAGGAGTATGTGATTTGAAACGCATCCCATTAGGGGCGCCTGGGTGGCGCAGTCGGTTAAGCGTCCGACTTCAGCCAGGTCACGATCTCGCGGTCCGTGAGTTCGAGCCCCGCGTCAGGCTCTGGGCTGATGGCTCAGAGCCTGGAGCCTGTTTCCGATTCTGTGTCTCCCTCTCTCGCTGCCCCTCCCCCGTTCATGCTCTGTCTCTCTCTGTCCCAAAAATAAATAAACGTTGGAAAAAAAAAAAAAAAAGAAACGCATCCCATTAAAAACAGGATGGCTTGTTGGCCAGACAGAGGAGGGACTGATACACAACAATGTAAATACAGCAACATGCGGCCTGTAGGGCACCAACGGCAAGGATGCACGTGGGTGCTCACATGTAAGCCTTTCGATATTCTGGTATGTCTGGGGAAAGGGGCAGTAGCTTTCTAACATTATGGATAAGAGACCGAGTTAGACAGTTCTCTAAGATAGGGTGTGTGAGGAGCAAAGAACAGTGAGAGAGCACCCTGAAACCGGAGTATTTTAGGGGCTTTGAGGAGAAGGGAAGATGTTAAGCCCAGCCAAAGGAGCCTGAGGAGTGAGGGGTATTCCTAAGGTTGGCTGAGGGCACAGCAGGGCAAGGGCTGGAAGAGAGAATGCGAGAAGGAAGCACAAGGTGGGGTAGACTGACCTCCATTCCTGATTGCGGTGATCCCTCGGTAGAAGTCCTCAAAACTGATCACGCCAAGCCCGCCGGGGTCCAAGTATTTCGTTAAGTCCTTCACCTGCAATTGTCAAGTGAGAGTATGTTACCCAAGCTGTACAAAATCAGAGGGAGAGTACACCAGGTGTCGGACCCCTTCACCACATTCAGAGGAGCAGCCTTCTTGCAAGGTGCGGTACTGAAAATAAGAGCCATTTATTCCTCTGATCCGAAGGCCATCCACAGCTCCAGCCAAACACAAGTGGCCCCCCAGCAGAAAGCTGCCAAAGGCACCTGGGACCATGAATCGTGGAAGTGAAGGCTATGCTCTCAAAGGTCAATAGTCATGCTTCTTGGGCACCTGGGGGGCTCAATCGGTTAAGCGTCCGACTCTTGACTCAGGTCATGATCTCACAGTTTGTGGGATCCAGCCCTGCATTGGGCTCTGCGCTGACAGCCTGCTTGGGATTCATTCATTCATATCCACCCCCCCTTCCCCCTGCCCCTCCCCCACTTGCGCTCACCTGCTCTCCCCCCACCCCAAATAAAAATAAACTTTGAAAAAGAAATTAGTCATGCTTCCTAATTGTGAAGATTGGAAGTGTCGAAGTTTTAGATATTCTAGCCAGTATCTAGATTATTACTACAGCACAGTCCCACCTATCCATTCTGACATGCCTTTCCAACTGTGCAGAGTCCTTAGTAAAAAATAACTTAGGCAAGAAGATGCTGGATATCAAAAATCTTAAGTAAGATGATTCACACATGGATGTTAAAGAACGAAACTCTTCAGAAAAAAGATATATTTATACTTTCAAGTATAAACTGTGTTTCATCAAAATTTAAAACTTCTGCGCTTCAAAAGACACCATTAGTAAAACTAAAAGACCAGACCTAGACTAGAAGATATTTGCAAATCATATATCTGGATAAAGGACTTGTATCCAGAATGTATAAAGAAAACTTACAATTCAACAATACCACAATTTTTTTTTTTTTAATGGGCAAAACATTTAAATAAACATTCTACCAAACAAGATAGACAAATGGCTGGGGCGCCTGGGTGGCTCAGTCAGTTAAGCATCCAACTTGCAGCTCGGGTCGTGATCTCACAAGCAGGTGGGGTGGGTTTGAGCCCGCATTGGGCTCTGGGCTGACAGCTCAGAGCCTGCAGCCTGCTTCGGATTCTGTGTCTCCATCTCTCTCTGCCCCTCCCCTGTTTATGCTCTGTTTTTCTCTCAAAAATAAACATTAAACAATAAAATAAAAATAAATAAATAAGATAGACAAATGGCTGATAAGCACATGAAAAGATGCTCAAGATTGTGTGTCCTCAGGGAAATGCAAATTAAAACCGAGACATCACTCACCAGAATGACTGTATCCAAAAAAACCAACGACAACAGGTGCTGGGGAGGGTGTGGGGACCTGGAACCTCACACAATGCCAGGAGGAAGGGAAGATGGTCTGGTCAGTGGGGAACACCATTTAGCAGCTGAAAAGTCAAACATAACTACACCACACAACACAGCAACTCCGCTCTCAGGGATGTCCCACCACACATACAAAGGTGTGCATGCACATGTTCGCAGGAAGCAGCATCACTCCCGCCAGGTAAGAGGAGAAGGAACCCACTGTCCATCACATTACGGGAGGAATGGGTAAACAAGGTGTGGTCTAGCCATATAATGGGCCACTATCTGGCCCTAAAAAGAAATGAAATAGTGACACACACAACATGGATGGAATCTCAAAACCATTCCGCCAAATTAAAAACCAGACACAAAAGACCACAAATTATATTCTTTCATTTATAGAATGCTTTCGGAAAAGACCACTCTACTGACATAAAAAGCACATCAGCAGTTGCCTGGAACCGTGTGGGGTGGCGGAGACGGGCTGCAGGCAGCATGAGGGACCTTTTAGGGTGTGGAAACACTGAACTAGGTTGTGGGAGCTGCACGATCCTATACGCTTACTAAAATTCACTCAATCATATACTTACAATGGGTGAATTTTATGGCATGTAAACTATACATCGACAGGGGCACCTATGTGGCTCAGTCGGTTGAGCGTCCGACTTCGGCTCAGGTCATGATCTCACAGTTCATGGGTTCGAGCCCCGCAACAGGCTTTGGGCTGACCTCTTGCTCAGAGCCTGGAGGCTGCTTCGGATTCTGTGTCTCCTTCGCTCTCTGCCCCTCCCCCGCTCATGTTTTGTCTCACTCTGTTTCAAAAATAAATAAATGTAAAAAAATTTCAAAAATATTACACATTGACAAAGCTTTTAAAAATAAATGGATAGGGGCGCCTGGGTGGCGCAGTCGGTTGAGCGTCCGACTTCAGCCAGGTCACGATCTCGTGCTCCGTGAGTTCAAGCCCCGCGTCAGGCTCTGGGCTGATGGCTCAGAGCCTGGAGCCTGTTTCCGATTCTGTGTCTCCCTCTCTCTCTGCCCCTCCCCCGTTCGTGCTCTGTCTCTCTCTGTCCCAAAAATAAATAAACGTTGAAAAAAAAAATTAAAAAAAAATAAATGGATAAAAAGATAAAAAGGATTCAAGAGAAAGTGACAAATATTGAAGACAAAGACAATTTACTATATTGTGAGAAGTGAGATGATTCATTTTCAGAAATACCAAATAAAAGCTGTGCTGTTTAGTTAACAATAGGTTTACAACCTACTGGAAATATGTATGAACCCCCCCCAAGCCCCCGACAGTGGAGTCCCAAACCCTTACACACCTGACTTCCTGGTTCTTCGTCCCCTCTCCATTTCGCGGGCTTTGCAATGAGCATGTGCCACCAAACTGATGTCTCTGCGTCACCTCAAGGAATGTACACTTGTTCCATTCAGACTACTTTTTGGCCTTCCGTGGGCACAGGCGACATCCGGGTAAGGCCATAACCTCTGTAGCACTCAGCCAATAAGGAACCAGGGGAGGGACTTATGTGCTAGGAGATAAGTTGTCTGCTATAACCACTGAGTGTCCCTGTCTGTCAGACACCTGCTCTTGCAAGAACGTCAACTAAAGCCTCACTTCACTGTGCTCCAAGTCTCCTTGTCCCCCTTTAATTGGGGTGGAGGGCTTATTTCTCACAATACGAATAAAAGAAGCCCCAGAGAAGAAAAATCAAAGGGACAGAATATTAAAACTATATTTAAGAAAACTTCTTTAAAATAAAAAAGTAATTTTAACTACATGTTGAAAGAGTACATTGGGTACTGAGTATCCAATCTCACTCACTCTGGTGAGTTTCTTGGACTTTAAAGGACAGAAAATCCTCTAAAAAGCTATGTAAAATTCAAGTGACTATAAAAGAAAATTTGATTATCATTAAACTTTTCAGCAGCAATACCCAGTAATAAGGAATATGACAATTCCCTCATTTCAAGCGTGGTTCAGAACAGGCACCCTCACGTGACTGACAAAGAAGCAAAAGATGTCAGAGTGAACGTATTAAGCAAACACCTCATAACAATGAATTTGAATCTGAACTACCACTGTGAAGTATCACTCACGATGTACGAAAACAAAGTGAAGACTTTCCAATTCTGTCCAATTAAAAGTAAGCTGCCCTAGAATCCAGACTGTTATATTCAAACCCCACTTCCCATTCAAAGGAACCAGGACCCGCAGAGACGTGTCAGGAAGTGTGCAAGCGGAGCCTAGAACCCAGTCATACCTGAGAGCAAAGAAGCTATCAGAGACTCACTGGGTCACATCCAGTAACTCAGAGGCCAGCCTGAAGATGCTTTCACAGCCCAAAACGAGACAACACGGGCACGGGTGAGCGTGCTGGCTCAGTGGAATGAAACACAAACATACCTCAAACTGTGCAGGCATAATTATGGTAAAACAAAACAAACAAACAAAACCAACTGGTCATCAATGAAGGACACAAGTGAACCAGGTTATTACTGTGAAAACAAATAAATAAAGGGAAAGAATCAAGTAGTTACGGAGCATCCAGCTAGTAAATGGGGGAAGGACAGAGACCAAACGTCACGCCTGCAATCCTCAGTGAAGTAATGCACAGTCAATGACCCTCAGTGCTTCCTGAGGCCACAGAAAGACAGATGGCCAGACACCACACGCCTCCTGACCGAACCCTGCAGCACCACCTAAATGAAGCCTGAACCCAACTACCAATTTGCAGGAAAACACAATGATCAAAGCAACACGTTTCAACAACATTGCACGGATGCAATTGACAAATCCAGTCCGTGAGGCCCCAACATACACAGATGAGTGACCTTCTGCTTCCAAAGCATAAAGGACAGACAGGAAGCCCTCACTAAGGGACTCAGAACACACAGCACTCTGTGACCTGGAGGGGCTTTCTGGATCTTGATTCAAATAAATTGCTTTTTAAAATCATGTTTAGAGGTGCCTGGGTGGCTAGTCAGTTAAGTGTCTGAGTCCTGACTTTGACTCGGGTCATGATCTCACAGTTTGTGGGTTCCAGCTCCACATCGGGCTTTGGGCCGACAGTGTGGAGCCTGCTCAGATTCTTTATCCCCCTCCCCCACCCTAACCCCGCTCACATGCACCACTCTCTCTCTCAAAAATAAACAGTCAAACAATTTATACAAAGGTGGAAAACCAGGGCTAAGACTTAGGCAGGCACGAACCGCGGCTGAGAGCAAACCCACTAATCCACGACATCCACAAACGTCCCCAGGGCCTCCTCGGCACGGGGCAGGCTGGAGGCCACCATGTTCAGCCCCCTCACCACTATTCAGGTAACATAAAGTCAGAGTGGAATAGGCCTGGCTCAAGCTGACTGATCCTGAGGGTGTGGGGCCCTCAAGCCACACACTGAGTCCTGCCTTCTCCCTCTGCTACCCAGAGAAGGCGAGGGCCACCGACCCTCCAGGGCAGGGCCTTTGGGCCACTGAGATACAGGTCTTGGAAGTCCATGCATCCACTGACTTCTTCAAACAGCTGAATGGGAATTATTTATAAAAGGCCTCCTTCCTTATCACACAAAAAACTTCACTCCTAAAGCACATGATGTCTAGTGAGAATTTTGCTGGATACATGAACGGGGATCTAACCTGGAATCCATACTGACAAATCTGT